TTTGTAATAAACTTTGGTATCTACTTTGGAGTTTCGTTCTTGGTATAGAAATTTGGGACCTTGAATTACCAATAGACGACAACAGTGCTTCGTAAGATCAACGAGCAAAAAACTGGACGTAACAATCCCTTCGTTGTTATACTTTTATACTACTAAATTTCTCTTCACAAAACTCCTATTTCGCGCATTTTCCTCCCTCAGTTATCTCATTTTTAATCTCTTAATCTCTCGGGTACGATGTTAAGCAATAAGGTTGCTACCACATCTTACACTATAACAATCAGGAAAACCTTCAGAGGTATGAACCCGGGGTCAATAGTGGTTCAAAAATGCCAGTCTCCAGAGACAGAGTTGTGAAAAATCTCAGACCGTCACTCGAAAGCATCCCTCAGATTAGTGTTCATGTTTCGGACTACTCAACCCAAACACCTCCACTAGGTCTCAAACAGCGGAAGCAAGACACCACTTCTCCGAATCACATTCCTAAAAAGACCAGTAGGCTAAATAAGAATGGGGGAAAAGGCGACCTAAGGTTCAGCCAACACAGTCTGTTGTACAGAAATCGCATAAGGATAACTGTACCACCTGAACAATGCCAGTCAAAATAAGTGATTATGCTTCTGAATGTAACTTTTCAGTAAATGTATCCATTGACACTGAGATACGACAGTTCCTAAGGAGTACTATTGGTTGATGTTCAGTCACCGCTGTCTGTGTTTCTGGTGTTAACGTCCTCCAAGGCATCTCCATCAAGAGTGATTTGGTTGATGCATGTTGTGTTGTGTCGGAGAATTTCGCTTTTTCCTTTATGTATGTTGAGAACTACTGCTGCAGAGGCTGCTGCTACACTGGTCGTATTCTCTTGCGTTTGTTGTTGCGTGTGCGGTAGAAGAGCCAGGTCATCGGTGAAGTCCAGATCGTCCATTGAATACCGTGCTTCCCTCCAGATATTGACGTCTTCATAATCCAGTCGATCACCAGAAGTAAGAGAAAGGGCGATCAAGGCAGCCAAAACCAAAACCAACACACCAACAAAACTGCAAGTTGTTGTTGACGCTCCAGTATATGTTAACAGTACGGAACAGTGGGTGAAGGTGAAGAAGAAGAATGAGAAAACCACAACTCACCAACGGCTATACTCAGGGAAAGGAACAATATGCTAAATTCACCCATTTTATCTGATGCCCGAGTTTCGGAAGGTAGCTTACTAGAAGGTAGGGCCGCCTTTGATAAAGAACAAAGGAGTAAGTACTGAGCAATCCCCGGAATGTGCAATATCCCGAAAAAAATATGCCGGCTCTTCAAAATCCAGGACGTCTCGAAAGAGAGAGCCCCTTTATTGCGAAAAACACTCGACTTATCACAACTTGCCGAAGACATCCTCCTCTCATCACAGAGACCATTGGTAAAACTATCCTCCCCGATCCTCAACAGGCTCGATAAACCGTGGTCGGTTCGATCGGCAGCCAGGATGTCACCAGACACCTAAGAGCAGACCAGTATGGTAGTTGACGGCGTGCCCGAACTAGGCAGTGGTAGCTTGGATGAATCTCACGTGCAAGATTTTCAACAGTGGCGACGGCCATCACGTAGCCTAGGCCTTCACACCACGGTGGCTGTTTGCATTTCTGAGTTGCCTCGCCCGTCACACCTCATGTCCATCAAGTCACTAAGTCTGATGGCTGTGGAATTTAGGAATCAGAAAGACCAGCTGATGCTCTTCAGGCTTGGTGAAACTCGAAGGACGACATCTCTAGTCACATTAGCTGTCACGAAAGCCTACCCAGACCATGACAGGGAGGCCAGAGTAGACACATGAAATTGGGAGCGGACCTTGATCAACTAAGCTCGGCAGAAAACACGAAGATAATAGTCTCGCCGATTGAATGCACTGCACAGGCCAGTTCCCACAGAACTCACCGACTCTGTTTGAAAATCCGACAACGGCTGTTGTTATACAGCGGCACCAGCTGATGAGACAAACCACCAACAGCATCTATATCAACGTTAGAGGGCTGAGTGGTAAACTATTAGAAATCAGGAATATGTGCTCTCAGATGAATGTGTAAATCATAATCCTAACTGAAACATGGCCATCCCCTGACTCTGTAGACGCCTACGTGAGCTTGTAAGGCATGACACTCTTCCGAAGCGAAAGGGTACACTGAACGGGAGGTAGAGTGACTACATGTGCAAACAGCCATTTATAAGCGGGGCAGCTATATGACACTCAACTAACTGAGTTGACAGAATCATTTTGGTGATGTTTCTAAACAAATGGCATGAAATACTAGGTTGGAGGGATTTACCGGCCTCACTCAGGTACTAAGGTCCAGAGAGATAAACCAAGCGATGCAATACTGCAACTATTACATCTTCCGCTTGATCAAATACACTTAGCTGGTGAATTCAAGACCCCAACTCTCACTGGTTGGTTCTAAAGACGGCTTGGAGCAGCCACTAGAAGCTCTGGGCTTACTGAGCACTCGATGGACTAAGGAGGACGAAAACGAGCCATATCTTCACTAGACTAAGGAAAAATACAAACTCATGAGAGATAACCATCTACATGCCACATGGCCACGGGAATGACAGTAGATGACCACAGGCAAATAGTGAGAGACATCATCCAAAATGCTGCCCTAGACAATGTACCTCCATTACACCACGCACCAGGAAATAGAAGGACATGGGCTGGGCGCGGCACTGAACGATTGTTACAGGCGAGGAGGGGAGTCTTGCACAAGTGGAAAGTCTAGTTGAAGAATTCCGATCTTAGTTCTTACTTGGCATTGAGAAACAGACGCAATACCAAAGTTCAATGTAATAGGAGACGCTGTCCAAATAAATGCAAACCCGAAGCACCTGTTTAAGTTCATGACTAAACGAAAACTTACGAATGAGGGTTTATGTTCTCTCAAAGGTCCGAGATGGTTGAGATCTTTAACACGAACTTCACCGATCAGTTAAACCAAGCATCAACATGTTCAGAGTACTACGCAAATCCAGTGCCAGCAAACGGCTTATGGAAAATCCGTAACTAAAATCCTTACGCCCAGAAAAGTCACCAGGTTGTAAAAATATTCGCCACATAGTCTTGAAACAATGTGCAGAAGCTCCCTGTTCACCGATGTGTGACCTGCTCAGGCATTTACTGGAGTCGCACCGACTCCCAGCTAAATGGAAACAAGCTACTCTCTCCAATCTTCAAAGGATGAGACAGGAAAGACTCATCCTGGTAAAGTCCGGTCTCATAACTACCAGTATTATCAAAGGTAATGGAAGGGCTGGTGAACGAACAGATGATGTAGTGCATAGATAACAATAAAATACTGCATGAAGCTCAACACGAGTTTCCGAAAAGCAGGTCGTGCTCATCCAAACTTCTCATAGCATAGGACATTCGGACTTCCTGCTTCGACCGAAAAATACCGGTGCACATAGTACTTTTAGATTTTGCAAAACCCTTCGACACAGTACCACACGCATGCCTAATCGTAAAGGTTGCGGAAATGGCCTTCACTGACCCACTCGTATATTGGCTCAGAAACTACCTTCAGAATAGAAAGTTTGGTACCAAGGTGAATAGAGTGCACGCAAGCTGGCGAGTCTTAACGTAGGGAGTTTCACAGAGGACCATCTTAGGTCCACTTCTCTTCCTGACATTCATTAACGACTTGTTAGGCACAGTTAGCAGACGATGCGAAGATCTGGAGGTTCATTAGAAGCGAAGAGGATTCAACTGACCTTCAAAAGGACCTTACATCCATTGAGGAATGGGCAGTGAAAAACTGTTTAAAACTCAACCAACCAAAGTGCAACGTCATGCATATTCTGCCTCACACAACGCAAACGATCTACACCCTCAATGGAGGTCCGCTCCTTACTGTTTCTTCAGAACGCGATCTTGGTTTAATAACTACAGAAAGCCTCCACACGAGTCCGAACTATGTAGGGGACACAGCCAAGGCAGATGCTACTCTTCACTTTGGTGCTGTCATCCCGAAATTATTTTTTACACTATTGAAGACGTGCGCGCGCCCACACCTGGATGTTCACAATGCCATCGCACCCCCTCTGCTTAAAAGAGGCATAAATCTCCTGGATCGAGTACAGAGACAAGTAACGAAATTGATGATAGAGTTGAAACCGAACCTTACGAAGATCGAATCCAGCAATTGGGATTATTCCCCTGAGTTACGGGGGAATCAGAGTTAACCCGACTGTGGCGTACAGCATATTAAGCACGTCAAATCATCACAACTTGAGCATCTTACCAATGCATCACCACCACTCTCGTCGATGCAATCCTCGAAAAATTGCACATCAGAAAGCGAATGCTGAGGCTCCTGCACACTTTCTTTTCATTGAGAGTCGTTGCAACCTGGAATTCTCTCCCAGCCGAAGAGACCTCAGCCCCGTCAGGGGACAGCTTTAAGAAGAGACTTGATAAACACCTACTAACATACGGATTATCATCTCCCTCGTGGTAAAGCCATATCCGATGCATGCCTTGAGACTTGATAGTCTTTATTACTGCCATCTTCTCAGATAACTTAATTAATCTATCTCGCATATTATCTCTGTTTCCTCTCCCTTGCTTACACTTCGGTCCTCTCTCACAATCTTCACAACCGATTAATAAGCTAAATTACCTATTTATTTACTGAGTTCTGAAATCTTATTCTTATTAGCATTCGAATTTTATCCTTATTATCCTTATTACTCTCCACATTGCAACTATCTGATCTCCGGTCTGGTAATGTGATAGCTGTTGGTATCCAAAAACTATACTGCCCTGAAACAAACGTTTTCATTCAAGTCCCGAGACATACAAACAACCAAGTGCCAACTGACTAGAATTAGACAGTCGAGTGACTAGACCCTCATTCATTGGAGACTACCGAACACATGAAACTCTACCGAAAGAACAATAATCGGGCACAAAGAAATCGATTGGTTTACACTAGCTCGTGAAAAAAAGATATTGGATATTGGACAAAACCTCAAGTTTTAGTTTGTGCGCTACTGTAAATTGAACCGTATGAGTTCTGGTAAATGGGTCGTGTTTCGTGTATGATTTTTCACAGGACCTAAGACCTTGAAAAGAAAGCCTGATGAATCTGTTGGTGATCAGGTCCCAGTCAAAGTAATTGAAAAATCAAGTCAGGCCCCTCGGCGTCAGCCCATTATAAGTCCTATCAAGTTAAATGTACCCACACAGGTTCGATATTATTATTAATATAGCATTAATATTCTCTCCAGGATGTAACGCCTGAAATTCCCAAAAAGGTAGATAGCAAGGTCCGTGAAGTCTTCAACTCAGATGAGGAAGTGAGTTATTTTTGTAGATCTTAAAGTTTACTCGTCTACAGAGTGAGGAAGAAGAGATTCCAACAGAAGCCAGAATACGAATGCGAAATTTAGGAAGGTATTCATGAAAGCTTTTATCCATAGGCGTTTCTATATATGTACATACTCAGTGAACCATTTGAAACATCGAAATTTGATATAGGTAATCATTTATCACTTTCTAGCCCAAAGTTATCTCGAGATTAGTCATTGTGATAAAATATATCACGTAGAGCATTCTGTAGCATGTAACCACATTTTCGCTTAACTTGATTTCAGCTAATCTGAAACTGCTTCATCACCTTTCTTAATCTTAATAACAGAATAGTTTTTCATGATGTCATGTTTTCATAAAAGATTTTTATTTTCAAGTATCTAGTCCGTAAAGATAAACTTTCGAATTTGTAGTTGATGTGTGTCTACATCTAGTCATACTCAGATACATTTTTTTGGCTATTTTAATTAATTTACAATACTACAATCTCGATATAACAAACGTCCGCCTGATACTTCGTCAGTAAGTTCTTATTTATGTTAAATAAATAAATAAGTTGACCTACAATCTGAAACAAGTAATTCATTGCTAAGTACGGTCGCTGATTTAGTTCTCAATATTTTTCCAATCGACAATTTCAGCTTGTTTTAAAAGTCTATCTTTTGTAATGTAATGGACTTCATTATAGTTTATATTGTAACACTTTTTCCTATCAAACCCATACTTGAAACTATTTTTAGTTTGAATGCTGAATCGCTAACAAGTGGAGTTTTGTAAAATTAACCAGTGTTAAGCAGAATGTAACAGTAGTTATGTACTAAGAAAACATCTGTCCATAAATTGTTTCTGTTCATTGACGAGTGGACTTAGCCATGTCGGTAAATGTCGACTACCTGGTTGGGGTCCGCGAGATGATAATAATCGATGGTTAGAGACCTTGAATGACATAGCTGAAAATCGTTTGTAATGGCGCCGGTGCATTTATTCTTTGCGTTCTCGGAAATCCTAATCTTCTGGATTCTTCAACACCTCTAGTTTTTTGTTCCTGAACTTATCTCATACTTGAATAATATCGTCTATTCCTAACCTCTCCGATTACTTCTAATACCTTCATTACCTCTTCTACTATTGGATTTGAATTGACAATTACATCTCTGTGGTGATGTGGTATGGCGACATGAACTGATGTACTTACGTACGAAGTTCTACGATGCATCTGACTGACTGTTTCTGTTCATTGTTGGCGTTTGTCTAAAAAGAAACCTAATTAGTGCGTTTTAATTTAAATGACTGACTATCTCAGCTTCTAAGAATAAATTACGTACCTGTGGTAACTTTGTTTCCTTTCAAACTTTCACATGTGAAGTAACTCTTGAACAACAACAAAAATCAAACTAGTTTTAAAATTAACAAATAATTTGACTTATTATCGTGGCTTCCTCTTGTTTTGTAACTGAACAAACGTGCTACTTAATTGTTACTGAAAATACTGGTCAGTCAGTCAGATGCAGTTACGGGTATGAGGGCGGTTGTCACTTCCCGGCTGCCCACACCGTGGAAGGTTGTTTCTTGAGGGACCTGAAAAGGAAGATAGATTAGTGTTGGTGCGTGACCGCAGAGCCCAAGGGACAACTGCTTGAGGCCGGTCACGCACGGCCTTTTTATCAAATGTTTTTTGAGGATTAGCTCCGTTCTTAAAGGCCCTTAGTGGGCACCCTTACCCAAGGAGACGGAAATCCGTGAGTTAGGGGAGGTGTGCCATTTTTAGGGTCGACCTTTTCTAACCCTTCCTTCCTTGTGAGAAGGCAGCATCGCTGCAGATGCTGGTTGTCCAAGGGAAACACCTTACTGCTGTTACACCACTCTGCAGTCAGCAGTACGACTTCGCCCTCAGACCTTGGGAGAATCAAAATTATATGCTCTAAATATTGTGGACACAAGCATTCAGTTGGGATGTTATTTAAGCTCATAATAAGAAATAGGCTTTACTACATCTTTCCAAACATATTGCGTACATATCTGGACAAGCTCTTCAGATTAACACTTCAGGTTGGTTAGTATATAGCTCAGTGATGTCAAATAAAATAAGAATATCAAGCTAACTTAGTGTAAATCAGAAAATTTGCGCTGCTACCTTGTGGTGGTCGGGCTTGCCTATCGTGATGACCCAACCGAGCAATATTGGCAGGGACATATATTCCTGTAGGTTCTACCATGCCAGGCAAGTCGATTGAAGGACGGTAAGACTAAAAGCAGCAACTCGTGGTCTAAGGCGAAGTCGTACTGTTGACCGTTGAGACTTGTGACGGCAGTAAGGTGTTTTGCTCGGACGACCAGCATCTGCAGCGATGCTACCTTCTGACAACGGAAGGAAAGGGTTAGAAAAGGTCGACCCTAAAAGTAACACATCTCAACTCACGGATTTCTATCTCCGGCGGAAGGGGCTTTTAAACAAGAGAAAAGAAAGTAATCTAAAAACAACTCATAAAAATGCCGAGTGACCGGCCTCAAGCAGTTGTCCTTCGGGATCTGAGGTCACGCTCCCAGGTCGTTAAGACCAACACTAATCTGACTGCTTTTTCAGGTTCCTCAAGAAACACCCTTCCACGGTGTGGGCAACCGGGAATTTATATCCGCCCTCATACCTGTAACAATACACGAGACCGAGTTGGTCAAAATCAAATCCTTCGTACACCTCCTAAAATGTCTCTTATCTTCACGTCTCACCGTTCTTACATGCCTCTTATGGTTCAACTTAATGATACCAAAACTAAAAATATATTTCAGGAGCAACTAGAAAAACAGTTGGGCGGCCATTTAAACGATTCGCACCCCGAGGCAGCTTGGACCGCTATCCAAAAACTGTGGAAACAGCAGTGATATCTGTTAGTAACGTAGACCGCAAGGTTAGGGGGAAACAGTGGATCTCAGTAGTATCCCTCGGACTGAAAGATGCTCGGAAACTCATCCCACCAGGCTCTGAACATGACAATGAGCTAAGTCAGCTTAAGCACAAGTTGATAAAATGCCTACTCAGTTATAAGGAATAGTGGTGGGTAGTTAAAGCAAGAGAAATGGAAAAGACAGCGGCGATAGGTAACAGCAGACAACTGTTCCGTTTTATCAAGTAAACTGATATTAAGGATTCATCTGTTAGCGAAACTATCTCAGAAAAGGATGGCCGTATCATTCATTGTTGACCCAGGAGATTGGATCGATAGGCAGCACACTTCAGGGATCAGTTCAACTGACCTTCAGTCACAAATCGCTTGTCCATGATCTACAGTCAACAAGGATGACAAATCGACATGTCCCCTTAGTCATTATGAAGTTGAGAAAGCTACAGGAAATCTAAAACGAGGGAGAGCAGTGGGTCCTGTTAGATTGACCCCTGAGATTTTTAAGGGTGGTGGTCCATTTTTCACAGTTATATTGACTGAGATCTTAGGTAGAATCTGGCCGTAATCCTATCTGTTGGTCCCAATACTTCTACCCCTAACTAGAGCTTGTGAAGAGCGCTTTAGAGAAAACCAGATTGGTTTCCGACCTGGACGTGAGTGTCTAGATCAAATATTCACTCTTGGTCAGGTCCTAGAACATAAACGGTCGTTCCGACGCCCCACGATGGTAGTATTTCTCGACCTTAAGGCGGCATTTGACTTTGTTGATCGTGAGGTTCTGTGGCAGTACCTGTCATTGAAAGGTGTACCAAAGAAGTACACTAACCTGACACAAGCTCTCTACTCTAAAACTACTGGTCGAATGAGAGCTTATGGCGAACTGTCATCAGGATTCCTTACTTCAAGTGGTGTCCGTCAGGGATGTCCACTTTTGTTTAATGTTGTCATAGACATGATACTAGATGTAACTTTTCATCGTCTGAATTTTCAGGAGTCGACTTTCTACCAGGAAAACCGCTTGCTGACTTAGAATATGCCGAAGACATAGTTCTATTTGGTGAAGACGTTGACAAAATGCACAGTCTTCTGACCACCCTAAGCAACAATGCAAGCATGTTCAGGATACGGTTTTCACCCTCGAAATGCAAAATGTTGCTTCAAGACTGGGTTGCATCAGCACCTGAACTAGTGATAGGGAGTGAAGTAGTCGAGCGTGTAGATCACTTCACTTATCTGGGGAGTCTCATCAGTGCTGACGGTCTGGTGACTGACGAAATCTCAGCACGGATACAGAAGGCTCGATTGGCTTTTGCCAACCTGCGTCACTTATGGCGTAGGCGAGATATCCGTTTGCTGACTAAAGGACAGGTGAACTGTGCAGTAGTTCGCTCCGTCCTACTATATGGCTGTGAAACATGGCCAGTCAGTGAAGATATTCATAGGTTATTGGTTTTCGAACATAGCTATCTTCGAAGCATTGCTCGTGTATCCTGGGACAACCGAGTGAGCAATGCTATAGTTAGGAAACGAGTACTAGGTAAGGATGGCAGACCAATAGATGAAATATCGAAACAGTTGAGGTGGTTGGGACGTGTGTTGCGTATGCCTAACCAATGACTGCCGCGATGAGCTATATATTGTGGTGTAGGAGTAGGTTGGAAGAAAGCTAAGGGCGGCCAAAACAAAACATGGCAGAAAACCATGAAGTCACCGACAAGTAGAATGAGTCATGTTGGTAGATGTAGACTACCTGGTTGGGGTCCATGAGACGAAAGTCTAAATTGGTTAGAGACCTTGAACGACATGGCTCAGAATCGTTTGCAATGGCGCAGGAGCAGTCACTCTTTGTCTTCTCTCTAAATCTAATCTTAAGAATTCCTCATAATCTCTATCTTTTTCCTTCTAAACTTATCTCACTGAATCATACTTTTCGAATCACATCTTCGCTCCTTACTGCTAATACTTCTACTATCGCTATCACTCTTGGATTTGAACTGACAGTTACGTCTCTGTGCTGTTGTGGTATGGGGCAACCTGAACTAATGTACTTATGTACGAAGTTCTGCGTTGTATCTATCTGTCTGTCTGTTTGACAATGCAAGCTTATCATTTTCCATGTGTTTTAGTAAACCTATCTCTTTTTCTCTCTCTCTCTCTCTGTGTGTGTACTTGCTTTCAGATATACTCCAACATCTTGCGGTCCAAATTCATTTGGTAAAGGACGATTCGGTTTTGTTGATCGTAGAGCATTACTTAATAAACAAACAGAAGCATTGAATGAAGCCGTTTCAGAAGAGAATGCACGTTAAGCATTCTAATCACTACTATTATTATTTCAATAATCAAAATGCAAATACACTGACTATTATTTTATCAAGCAAACTACCACTACTACTACTACTACTACTAACAGCATCATATCGAGCCGTTGATTGTGTGTGGGGGTGTGCGTGTGTATGTGTACAAAAAGAGGAACGGTCAATGGTAATTGTAATTAATGATGTTTAATTTTATTCTTTTATTCATTTCAACACAATTCAATGAATAATAATATCTCAATATCTATATCTAAATGCCAAATTTCTTCTTCTTCATATGATACTTGCTTTCAATTTCACATCATGTCGATGATGACTGAGTAGAGTTAAGAAGAGTGCAGCGGAAACACGTGCATTCAGATCAGCATTTTCGACATCATGATAGGATGGTACATCGCCCCATCGATTAGCCTATATATATATTACAACAGTAAAATACACATGTCATTGTGATAATATTTAACAATTCTATTTTTTTTATCGGTATGAAATACACGCCTAAAATAGATAGATTATGCATCAATCTTAGCATGAAGACTTACTTCTTTATACGATTTACTGATAGGCACAATTCTACAAGAAGATTGCCCACGTGTTAGCAGTACAATCTGAACAGTACAGCTCAATCCTATGGTGCAATCACACAGGTACCTGACACCTTGGTGGACTATTCACACCACTTATATACACTAATTAATACACACACATATATAGTGATTATTTCCGATCCATGATCGAGTCAATCAATATGCACCGGATGAACACTGGCCAATTCGACCCATCCCGCTTACACATGACTGTCAAACTCATTATTATTATTATTATTAACAATGGTGACATGTGCACAACAACACCGCAATGACGATAACCCTCGGTAATGCTGTAAGACAATTACCAGCAGTATCAATGAAATCGGTCACCGTGCTAACCAATTTTATAATTTGGACTGTTAGCAAAACTTGCCAAACCGTCCACACTGTTCATGGTAAACCTTTTGTTTTATAGGAAATCTTCAGCTCTATATAGCGGTATAGCATATGGCGTACACATCGTAAGGCGTAGGGGTAAGCAAGAGATGCAGCACAGCTTGATGCAAATGGGCTCTCATTACTCCCGTTTATATGAGCACTGAGTTAAGTGTGCTATCCGTTTGTTAATGTGAGGATTGATGAATTAGTAATTAGTTAACAAGAAATTGATTTGATTGATAGATAGAAAGATAAAATTAGTAACGCGGTATACATCGATGAGTTTGAATTTTAAAAAAAAACGTCAGACTAAAACGTGAAGTTTGATTTGAATGTTAGATATTACTGGTCAAGTTGATGATATAAGTGGTACGGAGGAGGATGTGTGGACTCTCCATGTACAACTGACAAGGAAGAAATCGATGCCGATTTTCTGATGACTTTACTTTCATCTTTTAACACACAATAATCTTTCAACTCGATCAACACAGCTTCTATAACGAAACTAGACTTTCACTCTAGTTAGTGAGAGAAGGAAGCATAGGAGAGAAGTAGGTCTCATCCGCCACAGTGATGTCGGAGATGCTGAATAGTAAGCTGAACACACAGACATATCAGTGGAGTAGACCATAGTCAACATAGAACCTGATGCAGATGTTTTAGCCTAAATTGACAGACCACTTTATCGACCTAATGAGATTCAATTGCTGAAATAAGGATACCAACGCATTCGAAATAATTGCAGTATTATCAGTGAGAGTGAGGAAAGCTGGACATTTAGAACGTGAAATGGAAAAGTACATATGAGAGAATATTGGGACCGAAGCTCTGGAAGAACAATCGGGAAAATCATAGGCAAACATAGGATCAAGAAACAGATCAAAAGCGGGGATACAATCAAAACAAAGGTGAAAACAACGACAGGTTTAAGGTCAACAGCAAACAATCAAGATCGAGGTTAGCAGAATTAGCTACAGGTCAAACGTGGAGAAATTCGAATACTTCATATCCATCTGAAGTTTGTGCTGACGTTGTTGTTCAGAAGAACAATGAAAGCTTCCCAACTAAAATATCCAGCTCAGAGTACTAATGGTTACGATAATATCATGAACTGTAATCCAGTTACCTAGCAACAGTAAGTGGATTAATGTCTCAAGTCTTGGTTCGAATGACTGCTAACTTCCCCCCACTATTTACTCTTATATAAAACAGCAAAACACCGTACGTTGTGATAGGCGGTGGCTTCGGTCAATCAAGATTCTTAAACCTTGTCAATCGACTTGCCACCTTGTACTTACAACATACAGTAAATCGGCTGAATAGTTCGATTGTGCCTACAATGTGAATACTATGTCTTATCAGTCATATTATTGTAAATATAAATGCAAAATGTTACACTTCAAGACTAGCATGTGTCAACTCCTGAAATAATGATACGAAATGAAGTAGTTCAGTGTGTTGAATGCTTCGCCTATCCTGCGAATTTTATCAGACCTTGAAGGTTGGTGACCGAAAACATTTTGGGACGGATTGAAGAATTACAATCAGTCCTAAATAACTTGTGATGCGGGTGAGATGATTATGTACCAATCAAAAAGTAGTTGGCCCTGTTCTACTTTATGCTGATGGAACAGAAGACATGCATAAGTTACCGGTTCCTTCTAAAGAAATATTCACGTTTATGTGGAACCACTGAATGAAGAGTTTTCATGTTAGGTATAAATGAGTAGACCTGTTGATAAGATAATCCTCTCGGTTCATTAACTGAATTTGCAACATGTTTTGCATATACCGAACTATCCACTCAACAAATCATGTAATGTCGTCTAGTGTACGAGTACATTTTGAAGAAACTATACCGACGACCGAACGAAGACTTAGCATCAGTCGATAAACTACTTATCTGAGCTATATATATATAAGTAAATGCAGACCATCTTGGTTGCAGTCAACATTTAGTGACCGTAATCAAAAGGTTGAATGACATGGCTCAGAATGGTTTACAATAGGCTTAGATGCATTCATCATCGCTACTACTATTATGGTGCGCGCTACTTATAAGTAGTATATGACGCGAGTAAAAACGTAATGTCTGGCAGCAGAAGATAGGGAGAAGAGTGGGAATACAATGGGATTTGTATGAAACGCATGAACAGTGAAATGTCACACAATGGATTGATGTTGTTTGCAACAGGAACGGTCCAGTTCGTTATGATGAATTGATATTTTGCAAATGAACGATTTACGATAGGGTTTTCCGATTTTACCAATTAACTCTGTAATTTGAGATAAATACAATTCGGTTGCCTTCACCTGTGTTCTCCCTTCACTAAACTATCACTACGTTATTCTAATCTCTTCCTACGATACACACATTCTTGAGACCAACACATATCGATGCTAAAGCTCTACTCTTTACGTTATAGTATAATAGTCAACTAGATAATAAAACTAATGATGACTAGATATTTGATGATTGACACTTGACAATAAAACGGTAAATAAAACTAACTTGAAAAAGTATTTCTATTTGACTTAATTCAACAGCTCGCATAGCTGAACAAAATCCATCCAACATAGCTAGTGTAAGATAGACTGATTTTAAATTTTCCACACATGATTTTATTCCTGTTTTTTTAAACAAAAAAAAAGATGAAATTCGATTATATAACCAATCAAAAAAATATTTAAAACAATTATTACTTTGAAATAATCTGGATCATTCAGTCGTTAGACATTCACACTGTTGGATGTTAAGCACACCGATCTAGAGGTCAAGCGTTCGAGCACAAAACCGAAGATCCTAGTTAGTGGGACATAGATGAGATTAAAGCATGACTACGTCAGCTGCGCGCTGAATGGCTAATTTCCTATCCAATCAGCGCCTGACCGATTCTTACAGAACAGGGTAGAAGATTCTCGTATTGTTGGCTGAAGGCGGATTGGCTAAATCTAATTCAGTCGATCACGTGAATTACAATCCAGAAGCTTCTCATGTAAATACTATAAAGAAACTAACATTGTATCTATTTCGCCTTCGGCTTCGTATTTCCATTTAACCTTGCTATTTGGAATATAATCTTTTGCCGTTCCACCGTGTTTTTGATTCTTTGAAACTAGTCCAGTGTATTGTGGTCAGGGAATGCTAAGCAATAGGAATTAGCTGGGAATTATTTAAGCGAGCCTTACAACAGTCCTTAGTTTGATTGCTATGGGTAGCAGGAGTCGTGGATACGTGCGCTGCTGATGCGTCCCATACAGGGTCGAAACGGCTGTCCAGTGACTTCAGTTTTTTTCCTAATACTAGTCTAACAATGATCGATTCAGGCTTTCAAAGTAACTCAATAATCCTATAATGCAAAATAATTACTGTGGTGGTGTTTCGTTCTCTGAGTTGGTTGTTTTGGTTGTGGGGGAAAAACACCTGATGACTATCTTCCAAAAGAACGGCTATACACGCAACTTCATCCAAAAAAACATCAACCGAAACCATCATCAGAAGCGAAATCAAGCACAGGAACAAATAAACGCATCATCCTGCCATACATCAAAGACATATTGGAGCATACGGCATGACTACTGAAACCATTTGGAATAGGTGTGGCACACAAACCAACAGAATCACTTCAATCATTCCTATGTAGACCAATGGTCAAAATGACAAAGGAAGAAAAACCAAATATCATCTACAACATAAATTGCTCAAATTGTGGAAAACACTACATAGGACAAAGTGGACAACCTCTTCAGCTCCGTTTACGTGAACATCAATTAGCAGTCAAACGCCACGACAACGCTTCGCTTATATCAATACATACCGACAATTATGGACACACATTTGAGTGGAACAATGTGGAAATACTGGGTAGGGAGAGGACAAATAACACCAGAGAATTTTTAGAAGCTTGGCACTCAGGTCAATTAGCAATCAACAAACACATCGACATTGACCCAATTTATCAACCAATCAGAAAAATCATTGGTGACACAGGATCAAGAAACAGATCAAAAGGGGGGTGCAATCAAAACAAAGTTGCAAACAACGACAGGTCAAAAGTCAACAGCAACCAATCAAGATCGAGGCTAACAGAAGAAACTACAGGTCAAACGTGGAGAAATTCGAATACTTCACTTTCCGCTATCTGAAGTTTGTAGCGCTGATGATGTTGTTCAGAAGACGAACAATGAAAGCTCCACAACCAAAACGCATCCAGCTCAGAGAACGAAACACCACCACAATCATCCACCTGAGCTACAAATTTTCTCCACCATCTCAAAATGATTACTGTCATATTTATGTTGAATTAATCTATTTTTAAATGATCTATGTGTATATGATCAAATCGAATGATAGGAATACAACATTGTCCCATCACTGAAGAAATGAATTCTTTTCATATTAAATTTCGAGTGAATAACTGCTGATTATTTGAAAGTATCATTATGCTCATCATAGTATTATAGCTTTTACCAAAATGTGTTTAAAAATTCACACATATCCCTACTTAATCGATAAATTTTTTTTATCCAAAAACATTTCTCGTTTAGTTGACATTATCGGATTGCATTATTTACAGTGTAGACAATTATTATACTACTATCTAACAAATGTTCTTTATATTTAACGCCAAGAATTTCTCTTAATAACTCTGATTATTAAAACAACTGATTTCTAGCAAAACTATAATTATACAAATTGTTAACGCTGATACCACGTAAGAAAAAAAAATTAAAGACAGGAAATGAAAGTCCATGTTGGTGTCGTCCACCAATGACCTTTTCTTGTGATTGATCTTGGGGATCTCATCAGTGCTGACGGCCTGGTAACTGACGGAATCTCAGCTCGGATACAGAAAGCTCGATTGGCTTTTGCCAACCTGCGTCACCTATGTCGAAGGCGAGATATCCGTTTGCTGAATAAAGGACGAGTGTACTGTGCAGCAGTTCGCTCCGTCCTACTATACGGATGCGAAACATGGCCGTTAAGAGTAGAGGACTTTCTCAGGTTACTACTCTTCGATCATCGATGTCTCCGAAGCATTGCTCGTGTATCATGGGACAACCGTATAAACAATGCTACCGTTAGGAAACGAATTCTAGGTAGGGATGGCAAATCAATAGATGAAATATTGAAAGTACATCAGTCGAGGTGGTTGGGACATCTGTTACGTATGGCTAAACACCGACTGCCGCGTCGAGCTATGTTTGGCATTGTAGGAGTAGATTGGAAGAAAGCTAGAGGCGGCCAAACCAAAGCATGGCAGAAATCCATGAATCAGTCAGTCAGTTGCAACGTAGAATTACGTACGTATGTACACAAGTTCATGTTGCCATACCAAGAAATCCATGAAGTCACTGACCAGTGGATTGAGTCATGTTGGTAGATGTAGGCTACCTGGTTGAGGTCCGCGAGACGATAGTCACCAATGGTTAGAGACCTTGAATGACATGGCTCAAAATCGTTTGCAATGGCGCAGGTGCATCCACTCTGTGTTCTATGAAATACTAAGCTTCTGCATTCCTCATAATCTCTACCTTTCTCCTTCTAAATTTATCTTACTGAATTATACTTCTCGAATCATATCTTCGCTCCATAATCTTCCCCATTACTGCTAATACTTCTATTATTGCTATTACTCTTGGATTTGAACTGACAGTCGCGTCTCTGTGCTGATGGGGCATGGCAACCTGAACTGATGTACTTACGTATGAAGTTCCGCGTTGTACCTGTCTGTCTGTGATGGATTAGCACTACATTCTGAAAATCTTACTTCCAGCAACGGAAACTCAAAGGTGGTGCATTATTTCTTAGGGTAGATCATTCCTTATCTATTCCCTCCATGGAAAGAAGGAAGCATTGATGCAGATGCTTATTTTGCATGAAAGAAATACTTCACTGCTACCACCACCACCCCTCTCCAACACGATATCAAAATGCTGTCAGCAAGTGTTCCCAAGATGATTGACAACAAACTCGATCGCCGTGATGTCAAGTTAACCACTACAACTGAGAAGACTGAGGCAAATTTACACTCTGAGTCGATTAAAAACGAAAACATTACTACATTGAATACACTCTATTTACACATCATCTCTTTGAGTCGTCGTGACTTCCAACACTCCATCCTTCTTCCATTCCTGTTGTTGCTTCCTTCCCTTCCTGTCGGTAATCCATTTAGTTCTTGCTTTTGCTCCATTTGCTTTCCGTTTTCCTCTTCTGACCGTGCGAATTCCTCTTCTTTCACGTCCCTTCTTAAACTACTACTTATATCGTTCGTATAAGTAGTACACACAACCACAAACCATTGTACACATATGCATAGATAGATAGATACATATAAAAAAAATTCAAAATGATTATCATTCGCGTTGTTAACCTACCAGTAAGACCCCATATATTATAACTACGAAAATGACGTGTTAATTTCTCTTTATCCGACAATGATAGCTTAGCCAATGATGTTAAACTATCAGTAATCATTGGTTTAATTTGATATGTTTTATTAATCCAATTAATAATTGGATTCCATGAAATTGATTGTACTTTAACTAAATCATCGGGTTCTTGAGATCGGAAACTAATGTTCATCAGTTGAAAGAAAAATAAAGAGAAAGACAGTGAAATATTATTACTTTAATAAGGAATGAATACATTAATCGATCAATGTTAGATCACCATTAGAAATCTGGAAGCACTGGACAGCCGTTTCGTCCTGGTATGAGGACTCATCAGCAGTACGCATCCACGACTCATGCTACTCGCTGGACGATCTGAACTTCGCAGATGACCTGGCTCTCCTTTCTCACACGCAACAACAAATGCAAGAGAAGACGACCAGTATAGCAGCAGCCACTGCAGCAACAGTAGGTCTCAACATACATAAAGGGAAAAAAGCAAAATTCTCCGATGCAACACAACATACACCAACCAAATCACTCTTCATGGAGATGCCTTGGAGGACGTTAACACCTTTACACATATCTGGGCAGCATCATCGACGAGAAAGGTGGATCCGATGCGAATGTGAGGGTGTGGATCGGCAAAGCAAGGGCTGAATTTCTGCATTTGAAAAATATATGGAACTCCAAACAAATATCAATCAACACAAAAATCAGGATTTTGAATACAAATGTGAAGACAGTTCTACTGTATGGAGCGGAAACATGGAGAACTACCAAAGCCATCATCCACAAGATACAAGTGTTTATTAACAGCTGTCTACGCAAAATACTTCGGATTCGTTGGCCAGACACGATCAGCAACAACGAACTGTGGGAGAGAGCAAGTCAGATTCCAGTGGAGGAGGAAATCAGGAAGAAGCGGTGGAGTTGGTGGATAAGACATGCACTAAAAAAGCACCCAACTGCGTCACAAGACAAGCCCTCATATGGAACCCTCAAGGCAGAAGGAAAAGAGGAAGGCTAAGGAACACATTACGCCGAGAAATAGAGAAAGATATGAGGGGAATGAACAAACATTGGACAGAACTGGAGAGGGAAGCCCAGGACAGAGTTGGTTGGAGAACACTGGTGTGCGGCCTATGCTCCATTGGGGGGAACAGGCGTAAGTAAGTAAAGTAAGGTGTGAAACAGTGCTCATCGAAGACAGTGGATGAGATTGCACAAGACTATGGATTGATCAAATTTAGGTAGAGACACCGATGAATGCCAGCTCAGTGGTCCAGAGATTAATTGTTCGTGCGCAAAACCGAACGTCCCGAGTTCGAATACAGTGGGTAGCAGAAGTCGTGGACGTGCACTATTAATGAGTCCTTTCATACCAGAACGATACGGCCATCCAGTGCTTCCAGATTTCTAATGGCGGTCGAACATTGATCGATTCATGATTTCAAAAACATGGTGAATAGTAGAGTTGTGCAGATTCCTGAATTTTATAGTTTTACAGCATAATAAACTGACCATTATTAAGGATAAGAAACTATTGAGTAAATTGTTTATCCTAGTAAACAGGTTTTCAACAAGATCTTTCAAGTCTTGCGGTTGGAAACTATTACCTTTAGAAACGGTGAGTGAGCATCTAATAGGTTGAAATTTCTAATCTCATTTTATTCACGATATCGCAAGATCACTATTCATTTCCATTGGTGACAATTGTTGTTATCGTTAGCTCAACGATATTTTGAGTTTGGGAAAAAATTATTATAGATTTTTAAGAGTCGGTCAACCACAACGTAGAATTTCGTACGTATGTACATCAATTCAAGTTGCCATACCACATTAACACAGAGAGATCGAATTGTCTATTCAAATCCCATAGTAGTAAAAGAAGTTGGAGTATAAACAGTAATCGGAGAGATTAAAGTTCAACGATATTATTCAAGAAGTAGAATCTAGTGAAATAAACTTGAAAACAGAATGAGAAAAGTGATAAGCAATTCAGAAGATTACAATTTTGAGAGAACACAAAGGATGAATGAACCTGCGCCATTGCAAACAATTTTGAACCATGTCATTCAAAGTCTCTAACCATCGATTACTATTATCTCGCCGACCCCAACCAGGTAGAAAAAGATAGTTTCACTGAATAAGTGGATGGAACAACAACTTTCCTCGTAAAAAACACAATCGGTTTACATTAATTTGAGAACAGATTTAAAGTGGATGGCACTGGAATAGGTTCGATAAGCTAGCCTCAATAGTTTTTGTGAACAACTTTTTAAAATTGCAACTATTATTAGGGAACCACTCCATGAACCTTAGGTTAATACCATAAGTCATTAAAATCACCGTACACAAGTCAACATCAATGAGTGGCTAGTTGACTAGATTTGGTAATTATGCAGTTCGTTTCACCAAGATCCTAGGGCTTCCATATACCATATTAGTTTGGAATTCGGCTTTTCCAAATTTATTAAGTGAACTATTTGTATCTATCAACTTAGGTTAGCTGCCATATACGATTTTTTTTGCTCACCTTTGTGAGGAAAATTCGTTACGGAAAGGCAGTACCGGATTCAGGCATAACTTCACAAATATACGAGGGTAAATTTACGTTGGTTTCCAGAAAAAACTGAACATCATCCGAGCTGTCTGAAAGACAGACAGATACAACGCAGAACTTCGTACGTAAGTACATCAGTTCAGGTTGCCATGTCCTATCAGCACAGAGACGCAACTGTCAGTTCAAATCCAAGAGTGATAGCAATAATAGAATTATTAGCAGTAACGGAGAAGATTAGGGAGCAAAGATATGATTCGAGAAGTATAATTCAGTAAGATAAATTTAGAAGGAGAAGGATAGAGATTAAGAAGGAATGCAGAAGCTTAGAATTTCATAGAACACAAAGAGTGGATGCACCGGCGCCATTGCAAACGATTTTGAGCCATGTCATTCAAGGTCTCTAACCATTGGTGACTTTCGTCTCGCGGACCCCAACCAGGTAGTCGACATCAACCAACATGACTCAGTCCACTCGTCAGTGAATTCATGGATTTCTGCTATGTTTTGGTCTGGCCACCCTTAAATTTTTTCTAACCTACTCCTACACTGCAAAACATAGCTCGTCGCGGCAGTCGGTGGTTACCCATACGTAACACATGTCCCAACCACCTCAACTGATGAAGTTTTATCACTTCATCTATTGATCTGCCATCCTTACCTAGCACTCGTTGCCTAACGAAAGCATTGCTTACTCGGTTGTCCCATGATATACGAGTAATGCTTCTTAAACATCTATGATCGAATACTAGTAACCTACGAACATCTTCTACCCTTAACGACCAATTATCCGAGCTGTCTACAAACTAAATGACACAGGTCAATCCTGTTGAGCAACTTCACACAAATACTGTAAAACCCTGATGGATTCAATTGAAAAACCACTATGTATATGAGTTCCAGCGGCACACACACACACTTATATATATATATATATATATATATATATATATATATATATATATATATATATGCGCACATCATTAGAAAATTATATATTTACCAAATTGTATCAGTATCAACATATTGCATAATAGCACTGACAAGGACATCACGTTGATCATCTGGAGTATCCAATGCTCGATTACACAATGTTGTCTACAAATAAAAATAAGAGCAGGTATTATTTATTCACTGAAGAAATAAAAATGTTACTAATTTTCAAAATTGTACCAGTAGATTATTTAGTTGATAATAATGTAGAAAGGCCTATATATATATATATATATATATATATATATACAACTGAAAAGGCGATATCCTTCGATACAACATTAGCAAGCATCAAACTCTGGAAGATGTGGAAATATTTGCATACCTGGGCAACCTCACCGACAGATAGGAGCGATCTGATTCAGATGTCCTTGAAGTTATTGACGACGAGTGGACTTAGCCATGTCGGTAATTGTCGACTACCTGGTTGGGGTCCGCGAAATGATAATAATCGATGGTTAGAGACCTTGATTGACATGGCTGTAAATCGTTTGCAATGGCACCGGTGCATCCATTCTCTGTGTTCACTCAAATCCTAATCTTCTGGATTCTTCAACACCTCTAGTTTTGTCTTTCTAAACTTATCTCATTGAATCATACTTCTTGAATAGTATCTTCTAATCCTAACCTCTCCGATTACTTCTAAAATACCTTTACTACCTCTTCTACTATTGGATTTGAATTGACAATTACATCTCTGTGCTAATGTGGTATAGCAACATGAACTGATGTACTTACGTACGAAGTTCTACGTTGTAACTGATTGACTGATTCAGATGTGAAGTCAGTCAGTCAGTCAGTTACAACGTAGAACTTCGTACGTGCGTACATCAGTTCATACCAAATCAGCTCAGAGACGCAACTGTCAATTCAAATCTCATAGTGGTAGAGATAATAGTTGAAGTATTAGCGGTAATGAAGAAGATTAGGGTTCGAAAATATTAGTCAAGAAGTATAATTCAGTGAGATAACTTTAGAAAGAAAAAGATAGAGATGATGAGGAATTCAGTAAACCAGAATCTGAGAGAAAACAATGGGTGGATGCACCTGCACCATCGCAAACCATTTTCAACTATGTCATTCAAGGCCGCTAACCATCGATTACTACTATCGACTCGCGGACCCCAAGCAGTTAGTAGTCTACACCTACCAACGTGACTCAGTTCACTTATCAGTAACTTCATGGATTTGTGCCATGATTTAGTCTGACCATTCCTAGCTTTCTTCTAGCCTACCCTTACACCAGGAATAACAATAACCACTATTATTATTATCAATATTATTACTAAGAGATATCATAAAACGTGTAACACTATGTAGAAGAAAAAAAAACCTAATAACTTACTAAAGGCATAGTATATCGTTTTATCGTGTCCACTTGACTATCCCATTCATGTGCAACAGCAACAGCTAATGCTTGATTCGGTACATAAAAATGAATTCCACTTGGAGTTCGAAGTTGACGTTGATCAAGAAGAATTTGAAATACTGGATATTGATAATCTGAAAAACAAACAACCCAAAATTAATCTCATCACAAGTCGAACACAAGTAAAATAAAAATTAACTGGGAAAATTACAATACATTTGATGAAACAACAAAAAACGTACCACTGTGGTGTGAGCTACTTATAAGTAGTATATGACGTGAGTGTCAACGTAATGTCTGGCAACAGAAGATGGGGGAAGAGATCAAGAAAGGAAGAGTTAGAAGAACACAATGGAATTTGTATGAAACACATGAATAGTGACAATGGATTGATGTTGTTTGTAACAGGAACAGTCCAGTTCGATAGGATGAACTGATATTTTGCAAATTAACAATTTACGATATGGTTTTCCTATTTTACTGAGTAACTCTGTAATTTGAGATAAATACAATTCGGTTGCTCCACCTGTGTTCTTGTTCACTACACCACAAGCGTGAAACAGTCATATTAAGAGGTGAAAGTTTAAGTTGAGTAGGTGTTTTTTGAGGTCATTAACACTGTCATGATGACATAATATACTTTTGGTGGATATGGGGCTCAACAATTCTGCGGTGGTGGTCGATATCCGATATAATTCCTAAAACTTTGTATACTGCTCGTCCCTGATAACTATATATATATATATATATATATATATATATATATATATATATATATATATATATATATATATATATATATATATAGGTGGGAAGAATGAATGAGTCAGAAAAGAACTATTTAAAAGGCGAGTAGAGTGAATAGGCACATAGGTGATCCTCATACAAATGCTCATACAATAATAATAGAAGTACAATGGTACAGATAAGTTGTTGCTGTGCAAATAACTCTGTCTATTAAATAAATTAATCAAAAAGGGCTTAACCAAACTCAAATGTAAGCGAGTTGATATAGACTAATTCATTTTCTATAGTCAGATTATGTATTGACAAAAACTAGTGTCCTAAAGGAATATATTGTACTTGGAGGAGAAGAATTTCACCCTCAAAATAGTCGCCTTATTAGCCATAACAGATTGACGTCTAGAGAAATATGAACATGAATTTTTAAAAAATTACTCTTGACTCTTGTTAACTTAGTGTAGATCATCGAACGTTTTTGCTCAAATTAGAGTTATGGAGATGGTTTTTTATTACTGAGATGTGAATCAATCATTGTTAGACCACCATTAGAAATCTGGAAGCACTGCAAGACGGCCCCGTTTCATCCTGGTATGGGACTACTGATCAGCAGTGTGCATTCACGGTTCCTGCTACTCTCAGGGTTCAAACCCAAGACCATCGGTCTCGTGCGAGAACGCCTAACCTTTGGACCACTGGGTCGGCATCCAACGGTATCAATATCTAACTCTGATCAATCTAGGGATTTTGCGCAACCTCACCCATTTGTCTTTGGTAGTTACTGCCTACACTCGACAGGGTTGAACTCCCATAGTCCCATAACAGGACGAAACGGCCGTATTGCAGTGCTTCCAGGTTTCTAATGGTGGTCTAACAATGATTGTCTCATATTTTAGTAATCTTTTTTCTATCAAAGGACAAGTACACGACATAACAGATCAATTTGTACTGCTAAATGGATATGAAATATGTTCTTTGTAAATAAAAGAAAATATTTATAGGCTAAAAGCACTTAAACATGTATTTTTGAAGCAGTGGTCGTTAATTGTGGGACAATGAAATAAGTGTTGTTTAGATTATTACGTGTTACCCTTTTAGAAATGTATTGTCTCTATTGCATGTTTTTATCATTGCTAAAGCTACTGTATATCCATTTCACTATTGATTTTGCTGATATCAGCTTGCTATTCTGATGTGTTTGGAAACCCGAACGTGACCGTAGCTGTTACCTTGACCTGGTGGTCAAGCTTGCCTATCGTCATGACCCAACCGGGCTATGTTGGCTGGAACAGATGTTTCTGTACGTTCTACCATGCCAGGTAGATCGATTGGAGAACGATGAGACTAAAAGCAGCTACTTAAGGTCTGAGGGCGAAGTCGTACTGCTGACTGTAGAGAGGTAAGACAGCAGTAAGGTGTTTCCCTCAGACACACAGCATTTGCAGTGATGGTGCCTTCTCACAACGGGAGGAAGGGGTTAGAAAAGGTCGACTCTAAAAGTGACATATCTCACCTTACCTCATGGATTTCCGTCTCCGGCTGTAAGGCCGCTTGAAGAACGGAGCTAACACTACAAACTTCAAATAAAAAGGCCATGAGTGACCGGCCTCAAGCAGTTGTCCCTTGGGCTATGCAGTTACTCAGCCAGGTCGCTCAGATCAACACCAATCCGATTTCTTTTTCATGTTATTATATAAACACCCTTCCATGGTATGGGCAGCTAGCTAGGAAGTGACATCGATCCTTAGACCCGTAACAGCACACGAGTCCAAACTAGTCACAATCAACTATTCCTTTAACTTCTCAATAATTCTCTAATCTCAATGACTGACTGGTAACTTAAGACGATATACGTTTGCGTTGAGTTTAGCGTTGATTGCAAATAACCAACTGATCAAGAAAGCCAATAAAGGTACTCTGACGAGAAACTTATGAACAAGTAAATTTGGTAAAAATATAAATGGATTTATAGAACTTACTTTCATGAGTTGACTGAAATATTGTCACATTTTTATAAAATTTCTTAATCTGAGCTAATATAGAAATATTATTCATATTTTAATGTACCGGAAAATAATTGTCTACGAGAATTGTAAGAACAATATAAAGATGTCGATGAAATAAGTTTTTGGCTAAACATTCTGTTCAATCAATCAATATCAGTTTATTGTTTTTTATCGGGGAAGTAGGATCGAGGTAGATGAATGTGATAATGAATTTTTGTACGTTGGATTTATCTGAAATGTCAAAAAAATGTGGTCAGGAGACATGTTACATTTAAAAATCACATTTACAAAAATATATCAAAGCTTAGGAAAATAAAGTATTTTTAAGGGATAATTTTATATCGTTTACAGTTTTAACTAATGGTTTTCGGTCATAGCTGTGTCTCTGAAGCATTGCTAATGTATATCTTGGGATAACCGAGTAAGCAATGTGTAGACTATAAGGTTCGGGTCCGCGAGATGATAGTAATCGACCGTTAGAGACTTTGAATGACATGGTTCAAAATTGTTTGTAATGGCGAATGTGAATTCATTCTTTATGTTCTCTCAAATGGTAACTTTCTTAATTCCTTATCACCTTTATTATCATTCAGTTTTCAAGTTTATTTCACTAAATTATACATCCCGAATAATATCCTCAAACCCTAATCTCTACGATTACTGCTAATACTTTTACTACCTCTATTACTATGGGATTTGAATTGACAATTACGTCTCTGTTTTAATGCGGTATGGCAACTTAAACTGATGTATGTACGTATGAAGTTCTACATTGTAACTAACTGGACTGACCTAACTACTTCCAGTTTTTTCTATGAAATACTGTTTTGAGGCGTTAACTATTTTACAGTTTTAAAAAGCATAATTCCCCACTCTGATCATTTTCTTATCCTTTACACATATGATTGTAGTGGCTTCTATGTTGTAAGACATTTGCTAACTATAAGAATGGTTAGAATAAGTGGAGATATGATCATATGGTGACGAATTATATAAGAGTGAAGGATGATAGTGACTGTCAATATGTTAGTGGCAAGTTTAGTGTATTTTTCAATTGAATTCCTTAGAAAGCATATTACGGAACAAAATTTCTAAAGATTTTGGTTTTACTCAACATACATTGTCTTGTAAATACCATTCCTATTTCTAGTCGTCTTCTACTTATTTTTCTGTCATGTGTTTCTATAAAGTCAACTTTCTGCTCCGTGATTTGTGTTTGTTGAGAGTTTTGTAGAAAGTACATGAAGATTAGAATTGTCTAAAGGTTTGGTTTATTCAGTAATCAGTTGAATAAATTACTGATTTAAAGTAATTCAACCGCTCTACTACATATTCAGAAGACTAAAATGATGCTTAACTAAGAAAAGATAAATTGCTAAGGTTACAGTTTGTTACCAACAGGTCTTTACTGTTGAAATTATTATCAGAATGATTTTTTCTATTAAATAAGTTGATTATGGAAATAGAAACACCCGAAACGAAAGGAACACAACTCTAAAGGACACATTTACTAGAGAAATGAAACAATCCTTGCGGTTTATTGGTTGTGGAATGAATATAAACTTCCGAGTACAATAGTAATGGGTCATTGATTTATCTAGATGGATACATTTTATTCACTGATTACAGATTTAAAAATTTTGCGTATACCATGGATATCTTTTTTTAAAGTAAATAGCGATTAGGATTTAAGATATCTAAAATTTCTGAGAGAAAGAATATTTCTTTACGTTCAATAACTAAATAAAGAAAAATTGTTAAGGTATTACTGAACGATAATTCCGTTATATGCAAATGGTACTTTTCACTGAAGTAACTATAGTTGCTATTGTAAACATTTAAAACTTTATCTTGATATAATTTTTTAGAGAATGGGAATTTTCTCGAAACTATTAGTGTTGATTATGCGACATGATAGGAAAAACCCTATCCATCTACATATTAGAATTTCATGTAGAAAACTCAGTACAGTCTCAAGCCAACAAAATTTTCAGTGTAAACCTAGGACCTTGAAAGACCGAAGATTAATTTTGAGAAAAGAACATAAACAAGTGAAAACTATGGGGTTTTAAATAGTTGATATATAACGTTTTACCAATACGCGGGAAAATTGTTTGAACTTCGGGAAAAATCCCAGAACTAAAGAAATTTTAAAATTCTTTGGTTGCATTTTTTTAAGATTCACTACAAACACTTGAAGACACTGACCTAGAATTCATTAATTCTCTCCCGAAATAAGGGAGCTTGGGACCATATGAACAAGAATGGAACGGTATAAAAAACCGGCTCTAATAAGTAAGATTGTCCTTGTACTACTTATCAGTATTACGGCCCTAAGACGAATATTGCAATAAGAGGGACTAGGGTAGCTAGATGTGATATCCGACAGGTATAAAAGTGGAAGATGAACGTAAGTATGCTAAATCAGTTGTTACAAATGTATACATAATTTCCAGTTCCGTTAAAAATAACAAGAAAATTTTTTATATGATATTATCTGCTGTGACAGAATACTAACTCAAAGCATCAGAAGTAAACGTGTTGCAATCAGCAGTCGTTTAGTAGCGCAACGCTTTAAATATAAAAAGCCCTGACTCGACCTTCATCCAGTCTCCAATATCTTTTTACGGGCTTCGATTTCCTTGCTCTCGATTCCCGTTGTTTCGGTACGGTTCGAGGTATTTGATAATATCCACTGGATGGTATTCTAGGCACTCGATCTCACTAATTCTGGTGAGTTGGAGGTTGTTTGTGAATTTTCATGTCCAGTGACTTTAATGAGTACGTTTTTTCAGGTCATTAGGGTTTCTGGATACCAGCAGCCATCAATTTATCAGGACAGAGATCAGTTGGCTGCATTGCGGAGAATACTATGGAGAAATATTTAATGCTAACGAGAAAATTTTGGATCTAAGTAAATAAATATTCTAATTTATTTAGTGACGATCCTGAGACGGCACCGTAGTGTAAGCAGAGGCAGGGAAACAGAGACGATAAGTGATGTAGAATAAGCTAATGAAGGCCAGAAACGACGCAAAAACAACAATCAGCAAGTTTCGTCACACTCACCAGACTCAGCTGGTCCGAGAAAGAGTTGATAATCCATACGTCAATATGTGATGTCAAGTCTCCTCTTGAAGCCATATACAGAGGGAGCTGTAGTCACTTTGACTGGGAGGAGGATTAATGGTGATGTTTCGAAAAGATGCTCATGTGAGGGTGATCCGGTGTACTTCATATGTTGTACGCCGTTATCTCATCAATTCTGATTTTCCTGTAACTCAGAGGGAATAATCTCAAATGCTCGAGTCTGGCTATTCTCAGCCTTGTCGCCCATTTGATTAATCATGCCTGTACTTGATCCATGGGATTTATATCTACGAAAGAGAGTGGATGCAAACTTTCACTTGTGTCAGGCTCTCCTTTCAGAGTGTAACAAACGCCTGGCATATCCTACGTTTTTCTTTTCGATGATATATAATATTACTGAGTTACTCAATGTAGGACAGCATTCTGAATTTTATTTCTTCCTGTATGGCATTGGTCATTATCAGTTAGCTTATACCGTTTCCGTGGCCATGGGGCGTTTAGAAGATGCTAATTCATGCACATGTTATTTACCTTAGTGTAGGAAATGTAGATCTCGTTTTCGTCCTGCCATAGTATTTCATTTATGATCTAGTTCAACATGGCGGCACAACTATGACTTTTTCCTACTGGTGTTTGGATATGGATATCTTCAACGAAGAGCTGATCATGCATTAACGAGTAATCCAAGTTTGAGGATTTTCCATACTTAGTCCACCCTTGATAAGAGTATTTGATCCAACCCAAGGAATAGTAGTTGCGGTATTGCCTCGATCGACATATCTTTCTACGCCCTAGTACTTGCGGGAGGCCGTCAAATCCTCCTAATACCATGTGTCCTTGTGAGATATTAGTATATGCCAGTCATCTTACTGAGTAACTTAACCCACAGAAGGAAACGCAAACAGTTGGGCAGTCATCCTGAATAACTTCCTGGTTTCCAACATAATGCATCTTTAGTGGTTGGAATGGAATGGAATCCGCTATATCATCCCAATTGACAATGAATTACAAAATATAACTACTTCTAAGTGGTGGAAGGTGAGCCTGCAATCTATCTTATTATGTTGGACTTCTAGTTTATCGGGATGCGCAGAAGTGTTTAGAGCGAACACTAAAATTTCATACTTTAAATGGTGCTGAATGAAGCGGAAGAGGCGGAACATCCTACCATCAAACTGACAAATATGTGCAAAGTGCGATAGAGGAGAATTTTAGTTACTGTTGGCATAAGGCTTCAGTTTTAATGGTCCCAAGACTCTCAGTTCTTTTTATACTTGGGAGATCTATAGAGAAGAATTACTTAGGCTGTATATATAGTACTCACTATCTCTCAGGTGGATTACTTGGCATTGAAATCATGAATGTAAACGAGTTTAGTTAATCAAGGATGCTAGTGGACCGAACAAATGAAATAGGTATTCCCGCATCCTATTGATTGTTCATCATATCACGGGAAAATAGCGAAAACTTTATCCCTGCTCCGACAGTGATCAAAAGACTGGAAAAATATTGTGTAGGGCAGAATCTGTTGACTATACCTAAGAAAGGTTACTTGAGACGAGCTACCGATAATCACGATAAAAATAACATACTATTTGCTGAACTTTTTAATGGCGGTCCTGGCGAATTCAGTCGCTTGGATCACATAAATCACTAAAATTATTGATGATTTAGTACACCTTTCTTCATTGCATGCCGACGTGATGTACATCTTACGATTATGTTATTAGTTGGTGTCTAGATCAAAATGCTTGTGTATGTATTGTATTTAGTCTTTCACAAACATCGTGAACCAGAGCGTGGAACATCGATATTGAGTACGGATATTTCTGAAAGAATTTTAAAGATGGAACCATTTGTGTGTAGTAATCGCTTTTCGGTGCTATAAATCAAGTGGTATCAGTAGTAAATGTTGAAGTGATATAACTCACAAATAACACAGCAATAATGAAAATAAATGGTTTGAAAACGTATCTAAAAACTAGTGCAGGCGATCGATCTATAAGTGTGACAGCTGGTTAAATGGGAATAAATAGTGCTTGGACAGTGGTCTGTCTGCGGACGACATTTAGTGAGCCATACAAGCAGAGAGTTAGACTATAAGGTAGAAGTTAGGGTCAGAATAAAAACAGCGATTTTGTGGTTAATAGTAACGACTTTGAGAATTAGTTCAATGAATAAAAGTTTAGGTGGCAACAAAAATTATGAACGTAATGAGTCTTTTCTTTCCACCGTCCAGTCTGCCAGTGATAACTATGACCTGCGATGCTTTCCCACTTAAAACGAGCACAATTAATTATTCAAACAGATTTAAGTCTAATTTAGTTAAATAAGGGCACAATCTTAATCTCCATTTTTCAGGAGTGAGGTAGAAATGACATTTTATTCTTTCGGTACCCCCGCAGGATGTGATATCGTCTCTTCTGTTTTTGTTATTCTACTATAGTCATAAAAGTATTTTGGTGACCCATTTGCTGGCTATCACTTCACACTCTATTTTAGCTTGTTTTTTCAAAGTTCAAGAAACAATTGTTCTCTTGAACAGTAAACCGCCTTGTTTGACGTTCATGCTACAAATATGCGTGTACCGTTTCTTCATCTCTTTGGAACTCAGCGGTACTTTAAAGGCTGTATATATGCATTAGGGTAATTATCATTATCCATGATATTCATGTTTTTCTGTAGAGCTTCAGCCTTTCTATTGGGTGGTCGATGGGCTCTAGCTCACACAAATATTTTAGACTTGGGTAGCAAATCTTTCTCCGTTTCCTGTGCCACTGTACCATTTGTTACTAAGTTTCCTGACGTAAATTTAAATAACTGGATGTGCTTGCCTGTCTCTGCAGTCGACAAGTTAAAGGTAGATGTTCGATATATGTTAACTGTTTGCTTAGACAAATGATGAGTGTTATCGGTCAAAAATGGAAATGCTGTGCATGGAACTTCAAGTAAGATTATCCCTCTAACTCCTCTATTTATATTTCGGATATCCGATTATATTCCCAGTTTTATTTCTGAAAAAGTTTTCTGTAGGTCTAGCTTCCTCTCTCAATTGTCTATACGTGTGTTTAAGAGTTTACTATTTTGAGTGAACACGTTTGTTTATGTTCCAGAAAGATAGTACTTATAAATTTGACTGTCTTGTTATGCTGCCAACTTGTATGTTAGTTGATCATGTCCATATGAAATATATAGAAGCGAGATGACTCTGGAATTACACTTCGTTGATCGTTGGCTCGGATGACCCGTAGAAGCTGAAAAATGTTGAAAGAACGCGATTCGGAAATGAAATTATCTATGTAAATGTTGACTTTCTGCTGTCTACTATTTTATTTGATGGTATTATGTTAATAGAAATTATCTACTTAAGGTTTTAATCAGTTTGAGTTGTGATTATGACTGTTTTTTTTGTTCACTAAAAATCAAGTTAACGATATACAGTAGGATAAGTACGAATGCAATTGTATATTACTAAATGTAATGTTTAATGAACAATTACTCAGACTGATTTTCATGTGTTAGTCGATCAGGTCTATATCAGGCTAGTTGCTTTTTCATCTTTTAGGTAGCATGAATAATATACCGGGGTTATTTTTATACATACATGGTTCAGTCACCTGTTTTGTAGCTCACTTAAGTTATGACCGTAAACTTACCTAAATTCCGGCATCCTATCACATTAATATTAGCTAGGAAGTCCGAATTAAAATTCGTTTCGTTTACACAGAAACAGTAGTAAAAAGGGACATTCACTGCACAACTCGTGGAATTGGTGTGAACTAGTATACTTCTTAGGTGACCATAATGATGTAGGTTTACTTCTAATACTCTTGTTCTTCTGTGCGTAAGTCTTAATCCCATCATAATATGGGAATTAAAATGGGTTGTTGTATTCTCAATCTTTTGTGAACTTAGTTTTTAACTTGTGTTTTCTGGAGTTTTGTATTATGAAAAGTAAAGAAAAATCTTACAATTTATAATTTATTTTAATTTACTAAGTAAAACTTGGATATTTAAATATCATCTCAACTCCTCTTACTCCTAGCTACTAATTGTTAAGTTCGGCACGTTAGTTTTCAAGTAACTACCATCATTACAAGGCGTTCATCATAACCTGTACTTAGCACGAAGACTATTAGTTTCAGTTTGAATCCCTTTCCTCGTCTCTAAAGAATTTCTTCATTGAGGGATCGTAAATAGAAATAAATCTATTCAGCATTGCACAATTTTTATTGGCTCTTCAGGTTACTTTAGTCACAATGGCCCCAATACACTTACTCATATTTCTCTAGATCTTGATTCCTAGTATTCCTTCATGCATATTATTTCCTTCCTTCTCGAGTTATATTTTCAACCTTTAGTCCTCACTCTCATAGCCACTACATTCCTATTCTTTTAATATTTACCTTGATTTTGTAATCTCATCGTTCTAGTTTAATTTGGCTACAAACCAACGCATTTCTCTGCGGAGCTCTGTGGTGTTCACAGTTGACCTGTTAGCCACTTTAATTTCTGTATTTTCCAATCTAAGTTGTACGAATGAAGCTGAAATGTATTATGCATATGAGTTGTAGCTGTAAAGAACAAGCCTATTAGTTTCTTATGGTAAGGGGAAAAGGATATAAATTGTTTGTAGCTAAAATATCCTTGCTTCCAGTTACTTATTTGTCAAGGGACTAATGTTTGTTTCGCTGCACAATTATTATACGTTTGTATCGATAAGATTTTATGTTATAATTAATAGCATGCTCCGTCATCACTAGCAGGTACCGGTTACCGGTCGCCGTCTGTGGAAACGGTCCCATTATATCCACCGACCATAGATCACCGACTGCGGTTACTGGGATCGACTGTAATGGCGGTTGTGTGTATCTATCGCTTTTCATTAGTTCACACTGCTGGCAAGTTAACACGTATTGAGCCTCATCGTCTCTCACATTTATAAACTTTTCTGCGTTTTATTAAGAATTATATTGCTGTTTTGGTTGGACGTTTAAAATTAAATACATTTTTTAATCGCTGCTCCGTAAAGTATTCCCTCATGAATTGTGTTCCAGTTAATCGCTTGTCCGTCGTAAAATCACTTTCTGCTAATCTGTCTAATGATTGTTTCTCTTTCCAGTTTTCTATACTTACTTACTTACCTAATTATTCTTTATTCAAGGGTCGCTTGTGTAAGGAAATTGAAAAGATTGATCGAAAAGCCAAGTTTAAAGTGGATAAGTGGGAACGTCGTGCAGTAAGTTATGATGATATTTCATTGTATGTTTACAAGCTTGGATTATATTCAACGCATTTATCAGGTACAGGGCCATATACTTGGCTTTAACGGCTACCGGTTACTTGAAACCGCCGAAGTGGGTGGAGTGTGGGTTCAAGTCCAAGGCCCATTGAATCAAATTCCACCACTCTTAAGTTGCAAACTGTAACCCATTAAACAGTCAGTCACTTACTGCAGATCCATACACTTTGTTTTCAAGTTTCACTATTTTGTATGTTTAGGCCTAGGTCAAACCAAATAGAGTAAAACCATGTAATCCAGTAATCAGAATCCAAATGCTTTATACCACTGATCTGAAGTTTGATTTGTTCATAGATAGATATATGTTGATCAATAAAAGGAGTTTCTAAAAAAAGTTAAAATCATCATTTGTGATACCAGGTGAATAACTTTCATCCCAATTCGTAAAATTTGATCTCGTACACAATCATTATCAAGTTATAACCTCCTCGTTCAGTCAGTCAATCGGTCGTAGGTTACTGGTTTTCAACCATAGATATCTTCGAAGCATTGCTCATATATCTTGGGACCACTGAGTAAGCAATGCTGTTGTTAGGAAAAGGGTATTAGGTAAGGATGACAGATAAATAGATGAAGTATTCAATCTTCATCAGTTGAGTTTGTTGGGATATGTATGTGACTTCCTCGACAAGCAATGTTTCATGGTATGGGGGGCAGGCTGGAAGAGAACGAACGCTAGGGACAGCCAAACCAAAACATGGCACAAATTCATAAAGTTACTGATAAGTGGATTGAGTCATATTGATATGTGTAGACTACATGACTGGGGTCCGAGCGACAATAGTAGTATAGCATCTCAACATTTATTTATTATACTTCAACGATTGGTCGTTTAAACTATTCGAAATTAGTATCGACCATATTTTTTATTATTTTTATTTTATAATTCGATTGCATTATCGATTATTGTATATTTGATTGCTTGCGTGCGTGGATGCTTACTCGCTTATATCACATGTCTAATTTGGCCTGACTATAAATACTTAGTCATTGCTTCAGCACACGTAGAGTTGGCTCAGTATTCCATTCACTTGATTTAGCCTAATGCTGGCATTATTATTATTATTATACGCTATATCGATGTATGTCTAGCACTTTTCTTATATGCATATTTACTAGACAGACAGACAGACAGATAGATACAACGCAGAACTTCGTACGTAAGTACATCAGTCAGTCCAGGTTGCCACGCCCCATCAATCAGCACAGAGACGCGACTGTCAGTTCAAATCCAAAAGTGATAGCAATAATAGAAGTATATTAGCAGTAATGGAGAAGATTAGGCAGCGAAGATATGATACGAGAAGTATAATTCAGTAAGATAAATTTAGAAAGAGAAAGATAGAGATTATGAGGAAGGCAGAAGATTAGAATTAGAGAGAAGACAAAGAGTGGATGCACCTGCCCGACCGTAGCTGCTACCTTGACGTGGTGGTCGTGCTTGACTATCGTGATGACCCAACCAAACTATATTGGCTGGGACAAATGTTCCTGAAGGTTCTACCATGCCAGGCAGGTCGATTGGAGAACGATGAGACTAAAAGCAGCTACCCAAGGTCTGAGGGCGAAGTCGTACTGCTGACTGTGATGGAGGGGTGTGACAGCAATAAGGTGTTTCCCTCGGACAACCAGCATCTGCAGCGATGCTGCCTTCTCACAAGGAAGGAAGGGGTTAGAAAAGGTCGACCCTAAAAATGTCACACCTCACCCTACCTCACGGATTTCCGTCTCCGTCGGTAAGGGTGCCCACTAAGGGCTTTCAAGAGCGGAGCTCATAAAAAGGCCGTTCGTGACCGGCCTCAAGCAGTTGTCTCTTGGGCTCTGCGGTCACGCAACCAGGTCGTTAAGACCGACGCTAATCTATCTTCCTTTTCAGGTTCCTCAAGAAACAACCTTGAACGGTGTGGGCAGCCGGGAAGTGACAACCGCCCTCATACCCGTAACAGCACACGAGACCAAATTGGTCAAAATCAAATCCTTAAATGCATTTACTGATGTAAGAAGGTTCAACCCAATTCTATAGTTGGAATTTTTTAAGTATTACAAGTTTTGAGCAATTGACAGCAAAACCCAGTAAAATAAAAAGAAATCGTATTATTCTTTTGATTTGATTTTTCAAGCCGATGGAAGAAGGTATGCTCATACATGAACTGAATAAGTTTAAGACGCATAATTGGACCAATCAGTTGGCTAGTTCTTTTTTGCTGACCAGCGTTAGAAGTTTAAAACTCTAATCCATTTACTTTAATTCAGTCAACTTGTTAATATCACTGCTCTTCTTCCCGACCGTAGTTGCTACCTTGATGTGTGGTGGTCAAGCTTACCTAGCATCATGACCCAGCCGAGCTATATTGGCTGGAAAATATGTTCCTTTAGGTCGTAGCATGCTAGGCACGTCAATTGAAGAACTTCTGACTAACTGTAGAGGGATGTGACAGCAGTAAGGTGTTTCCCTCGGACAACCAGCATCTGCGACGATGCTGCCTTCTCACAAGGAAGGAAGCGGTTAGAAAAGGTCGATCCTAAAAATGTCACACTTCACCTTACCTCACGGATTTCTGTCCCTGGCGGTAAGGCTACTTTAAGAGTGAAGCTAGCTAACACTATACAACTTCCCATAGAAAGGCTGTGTGTGTGACCGGCCTCAAGCAGTTGTCCTTTGGGTTCTGCGGTCACGCTGCCAGGTTGCTCAAATCAACGCTAATCCGATATTCTTTTCAGCTTCCTCAAACAGAACCCTCCGTGATGTGGGCAGCTGGGAAGTGACATCCACCCTCATACTCGTAACAAAGCACACGAGACCGAATTACTTACTGACTGCTCTTCACACAAGAAATTTTTACACAGCAATATATGAGTTTCAAGGTTCAACATGTCTTTCTACACATCTTTTTTTCACGTAAATAGGGTGGTGGCGGAATTTCATGTGTTCTAGAGAATGGTGATGTTTTTGAAAAGGCTGGTGTCAATGTCAGTGTAGTAAGCGGGACTCTTAGTGGTCAAGCAGTGAAAGAAATGCGTGCAAGGTTAGTTGTTCTGATTGGATTTTTTATCCTTTCTGTTTTTATCGGTTTGAATGAATCCTCTTGTTATTGGTTTGTCAATTTCGGGAGCTGATTTAATCTGATAACCACTGAAAATTTAGGAGCATTGTTGTGCGATTGCTTCATTCTAATAAGAGACTTAGTTGTGCACACCGACGAACAGCGGTTCATCAGGAAGAGTCAGACTTTCAGACTTAAACTTTAGATGACTGAGTCGGCCTCCACAGTGGCCTACTTTTTTTTCTGTCTAATTTCAGTCGATTCGCAATGTTAAACGGGTATCATCAGTTCTAATGAAAAGCTGTAGTCACTGTGGGGTTTATTTAACGTCATTTTTGGGCGTAGGATGAGTATCACCTAATGACATTGACAAGCTAGAAATACAAACCGTTGGTTGATAAACTAGTTTTTCTAAAGGTTACGTGCCTGATGATACGTGGCCTAAAGTGCATAGGTCATGTTTTTTTAATGGAGTCATTGGCGTTCATTGGCATAGCAGTTTCATGCAAAACCAATACATCTCGGTAGTGTTTTATGTATATCAGTAGGTGTCTGACTTAAGTGTCGGTTCAATGTATGAAAAACTTTAAATCTTACTGATCTTTGTTGATTTTTGACGTGAGAGAGAGAGAGAGAGACAGAAATACGGTGTACAGCATTATCCCACATATTGAACTTTAGAGAATACTAATGTAAGGACTCATCTGATTTTTTGGCGAAATTAAATTAGTTTAAGTCTTTGAGGCGTTCTATTTGTAAACAATAAACTTAGTAGTAGAGATAAGGCTTGTTCTGGCTTTTCTAAATAAAATACTCGACTTTTATTGTCAGATGAGATAATCTATTAAGTTAATTGACTACTCAATCAACCAGTCAACAGCAACGTAGAACTTCGTACGTACGTACGTACGTATATCAGTTCAAGTTGCCATACCACATTTGCACACAGAGACGCAATTGTCAATTCAAATCCCATAGTAGTAGAGGTAGTAAAAGTATTAGCAGTAATAGGAGAGATTAGGGTTCGAAGATGTTATTCAAGAAATATAATTCAGTGAGGTAAATTTAGAAAGAGAAAGATAGAAGTAATGACGAATTCAGAAGGTTAGGATTTGCCATGTTATTCAAAGTTTCTAACAATCGATTACTATCATCTCGCGGACCCCAACCAGATAGTTGACACTTACCGACATGACTCAGTCTACTTGTAAATGACTTCATGGATTTGTGCCATGTTTTGGTAATCGCCTCCTACCAGTATTAGTAGATGTAGTAGTCATATTGTTCGTTCAGTTTTACAGATTAATTACCCTCTCTATCGCTGCATTACATGCTTTCATTTCGGTATATTTCATGAGTCGTTTGTTTTAACACAATTACTTTGAATGTATTCAGTTAGTTATGAGAAGCATAGAAGTTGTCACATGTTCAATGCCAGATTACGTTGAAGCACGCTGATTGGCTCATTCTTAGCTAATCACATCTAGTGGTTAGATAGTTGAAGAAGGTTCAAGAATATTCGTTGTATAAGAATTATACTTTTTCCGACGTTTTTATTAACTATGATCACTTCGTAGTCAACTTGAGTTGTTAGATTATCATTAACTATCTGTTCAAGGCGTGTTCTGATTTTTCGGACTAGTTGAACGTTGTACAATGTCGAAGTACGAGAACAGATATCACTTCTCGACTGCCTACACCATGGAAGGGTGTTTCTTGAGGAACCTGAAAACGAAGGTAAATTAGTTTTGGTCTTAGAAACCTGGAAGCGCGATTGTAGAGCCAAAGGGACAATTGCTTAAGGTCGGTAGCGTACGGCTTTTTTATGGGAAGTCTGTGAAGTGTTAGCTCCGCTCTTAATCACATATACAATATTTTCGGGCAGAGTTTTGGAGGTTTTGTGTTTTTCCACATTTGAAATCATCAATCAATCAGAGTTAGACATTAACACCGTTGGATGCCGGCCCAGTGGTCCCATGGTTAGGCGTTCACGCACAACACCGAAGGTCCCGGGTTCGAATCGTGCGAGGAACAGGAGTCGTGGATGCGCACTGCTGATGAGTCCCATACCAGGATGAAACGGCCGTCCAGTGCTTCCAGGTTTCTAATGTTGGTCTAACGATGATTGATTGATGGTTTCAAATATTTAAATAACGCTAACCTTCAAAACTATGCCCCAAAACTGTTATTGTCAATATACTGTTTTTATTCCTTTCTATTCCTCGTTTGTTTTATTCTTCTTATCTGTAGACACAATGAAATTGATCCTAATCAAGATTGTAAATTTTTTGCTTGTGGTATCAGTTCAGTTATACATCCAGTAAGTTTTTTTTATTAAAAATTCTATTGAGATATTTTTTGAATTATAATATTTCCAGTAGTCCGTGATATTTTATCAGCTCACGACTTGGACTCCATTAGGGACGAATGATTGAGTGTACAATGAAATAAATCTTTCTGTCCATTTCTGTATATCACACACATACTTAGGCGAACTCCGTTCGTTCGACGGCGGTAGTAAGAAGCCGAATACATTGTTGCGGATGAATTTATCACATGCGTGTTCATTTATGCGGACAGGCATGTGTTATCATGCTGCTACGTATAGCTAGCTATTCAGTCCTAGCGGCGTCCAAATTCAAATATCCCAATACGACCTAAATACTCTTCCCAATTCTCCTATATATCTATCAGAACGCAAATACCGTTGGATGGAGTTGTTTATTGGGTCGAGTACAGAAGATAGGAGGTAGGCAGGAAGGGACGGAAAACATGAAATCTTACAGATAGTGCGTATTTATACATTTAGATCGTATAGGAAAGAGCATCAAAGTCTGTGACATTGATAGTTTAGGACGGCGACCAATAGGAAAGAACATTTGAAATGACATTGACACTCCGGAAGACCAATCAGAGACAACATTGAAATATTTGACTTTGACAGTTAAAACGATCATAATTTTGACCAATAGAAATCGACCAATAGGATTATACTTCCGAAAATAGCAGTACTCTTAGGATGTTTGGTGAATATCCAAACAACATGAGAATGGAAAGTGTACAAGCAAAGCTGAAGCGAATTGGAGGAGGCGAACTATGCACTGAAGCCACCATAACTAAGTTTTTAAAGTCAAGCAATAATAAGCTAGACATGTGATAAGCCAGTAAGCATCCACACACACACACACAATCAAATACACAATAATCGATATTGTAATCGAATTATAACAAATAGGAAAAAAATGGTCGAACGATCGTATGAAATAAACTCCGTCCTACTCTATGGATGCGAGACTTGGCCTTTAAGAGTAGAGGACTTCCGTAGGTTACTAGTCTTCAATCATCGATGTCTCTGAAGCATTGCTCGTGTATTCTTGGACAACCGTATAAGGAATGCTGTCGTTAGGAAACGAGTTCTAGGTAGGGACGGCAAATCAATAGATGAAGTAGTGAAACTTGATCAGTTGAGGTGGTTGGGTCATGTGTTACGAATGCCTAACCACCGACTGCTGAGACGAGCTATATTTTGTGGTGTAGGAGTAGGTTGGAAGAAAGATAGTGGTGGCCAAAGCGAAACATGACAGCACTCCATGAAGTCACTGACAAGTGGACTGAGTCATGTTGGTAGATGTAGGCTATCTGGTTGGGGTCCGCGAGATGAAAGTCACCAATGGTTAGAGACCTTGAACGACATGGCTCAAAATCGTTTGTAATGTTGCAAGTGCATCCTTTCATTGTGCTCTTTCAAATCGTAATCTTCTGGATTCGTCAGCACCTCTACCTTTATCTTCTTCATTACCATTAATACGTCTGCTATCTCTATCACTATGGGATTTGATTTGACATTTGCGTCTGTGTGTTAATGTGGTATGGCAGCCTGAACTTATTTACATACGTACGTAGTTCTACGTTGCAACTGACTGACTAACTAACCTTGGTGGTTGCTGGGTTATTGATAGACACCGTTGTGAAGTATCTCTATTTAATATTGCTCCCTCTCGTTCTCACTCTCTCTCTCACCCTCTCTCTTCATTTTCCCGCGTAGCTCAATCCATATGTGCCTACAACACATTTTAATTTTCGTTATTTTGAAGTAGACTTAAGCAATAATCGTAAATTATGGTGGTATGGTGGAGGGGCTGATTTAACACCATTTTATTTATTCAATGAAGATGCAAAACATTTTCATGAACAATTAAAATTTGCATGTGATCAACACAATGAATCGTTTTATCCACGTTTTAAAAAATGGTGTGATGATTATTTCTATTTGACACATCGTGGTAAGTGTGATTTGTTCTTGTTCTGTTATTTTTTGTGTGCTTATTACTGTTTTACTTGCATCACCTCTGTGAACGATAGTATGGAGTGAGAAAGTTGAGCATGTTGACCGCTTCACCTATCTTGGGATTGCTATCAGTAGTGCTGTCAGTGGCCTGGTGACTGATGAAATCTCAGCACTTTTACATCATGTACACAGTGATAATACTGTTAGAGAAAGCATTATCTGTGTCTAACTTTTTTTCAGGGGTGTGTGGACCTTCTACCAGGGCACTCGCTTATTGACTTAGAATATGTCGATGACATAGTAGTTCTATTTGGTGAAGATACTGACAAAATGCAGAGTCTTCTGACTGACTACCCTAAGCAACAATGCAAGCATGTTCGAGATGCGGTTTTCCCCCCTCGAAATGCAAAATGTTGCTTCAAGATTGGGTTTCATTGGCACTTGAACTAGTGATTGGGAGTGTAGTAGTCGAACGTGTCGACCGCTTCACTTATCTGGGGAGTCTGGTCAGTGCTGATGGCCTGGTGTGTGAAGAAATCTCAGCACGGATACAGAAGCCTCGATGGGCTTTTGCCTACTTGCATCATTTGTGGCGTAGGTGGGATATCCTTTTGTTAACCAAAGGACGAATCTACTGCTTAGCAGTTCGCTCTGTCCTATTTTATGACTGGCCATTGAGAGTGGAAGATATTCGTAGGTAACTAGTGTTCAATTATCGATGTCTTCGAAGCATTGCTCGTATATCCTGGGACAACCGATCAAGCGATGCTGTTGTTAGGTATTGACGACAGATCAATAGATGAAGTATTAAATCTTCACCAGTTGAGTTTGCTGGGACATGTGTTACATATGTGCCCAACCCCCGACTGCCGCGACGAGCTATGCTTTGTGTTGTTAGTGTAGGTTGGAGGAGAGCTAGGTGTGGCCAGACCAGAACATGGCACAAATCCATGAAGTCACTTACTACTCGATTGCGTTATGTTGGTAAATGTAAACTTCCAGTTTTGGGGTCCGTGAGAGAATCGTAAACAATGATACGTGAATTGAAAGGACATGCCTCAAAATCGTTTGCATTGGTGCAGTTACATTCATTCAATAGTTCAATGTGTTTTAATTTACGGCTGTTGGTTATTAAGCAGACATGATAAATCGCTCGATCAGGTCATGAATCTTCATTGACTGAGGAAGTTGGATATATTTTGTGTATATCAAATCATTATCTACCTGACTCAACACGAAGTGTTGTATGATTTAACAGTAGGTGTAAATAAAGCTTAAGGGATGCCTAAACTAAGACATTGGCATCAATTCATGAAGAAGCCGGACTGTTAAACTGAATGATTTACAATCCACACCATTATCATAATCAATAGTTAGATAGTTTGTGTGACGTAACTCAGAATCACTCAGTTAATATGGTTTGGGGTTGGACTTGGGTCCGATGCATACACCAGTTCAGGTTGCCATACCTCATTAACACGGAGATGCAACTGTCAGTTCAAATCCAAGAGAGTGGTGCAGATAGTAGAAGAGTTACTGGTAATGGAGAAGATTAGGCTTTGAAGATCTTATTCAAGAAGTTTAGTTCAGTGAGATAACTTTAGAAAGAGAAAGATAGAGGCATAAGATTAGGAATTGAGCGAACATAAAGAGTGACTGCACCTGCGCCATTACAAACGATTTTGAGACATGTCGTTCAAGGTCTCTAACCATTGGTGACTTTCGCCTCGCAGACCACAACCAGATAACCTGCACCTACCAACAGGACTCAGTCCACTTGTCAGTGACTTTATAGATTTGTGACATGTTTCGGTTTGGCCGCCCTTAGCTTTCTTCCAACCTACTCGCACACCACAAAACGTCGCCCGTCGAGGCAGTCGGTGCTGAAACATAGATCATTGAGTCAGTGGGTGGTTAGGCGTACGCAGCACATGTCCCAACCACTTCAACTGATGAAGTTTCAGTAAGTACTTCAGTGACTTCATAGATTTGTGTTAGGGGACAAATTAAAATTGTTCATGAAAATTCACACTGAAACCAATAGGGTAATATGTGGTGCGAGCTACTCATAAGTAGTATATGACGTGAGTGTCAACGTAATGTCTGGCAGCAGCAGAAGATGGGGGAAGATCAAGAAAAGGAAGAGTTAGTTAGAACACAATGGAATTTGTATGAAACGCATGAATAGTGACAATGGATTGATGTTTTGCAACAGGAACAGTCCAGTTCGATAGGATGAACTGATATTTTGCAAATTAACGACGATTTACGATATAGTTTTCCTATTTAATACTGAGTAACTCTGTAATTTTCGTTAAATACAATTCACTTGCCCTCACCTGTGTTCTCGTTCACTACAAATGAGATGATAATTCATAAGGAAAAAATTCAGCTTGAGAATTGTCAGAATGTTTTTCTTCAAAACCCCCTATGAACCTTTTTTTACTTTTATTGTGTTCTTGAAAATTTTTCGTAAATAGGTGAAACACGTGGTGTTGGTGGAATATTTTTCGATGATTTAGACGATGCTTCACAAGAAAAAGTATTCAATTTTGTCAAAGTAAGAGTGTAGTAAATTGTGTGTTTTTTTAAAAGTCTTAAACAAGCTCTTTTATGACTGACATTTACTCATTCGACCATTATTGAATCAGCAGTATTCAGTGGTGTTCACATGCCTATCTGTATTCAGTTTGTCATATTTAACAACCGTATCTCCCAGTGTCACTAGTGGATCCTGAGATCTTCGATGCAAACTAATAAGTGTTCTCGTATTCAGTCAATCAACTACAATGTAGAATTTCTTACTTACGTACATCAGTTCAAGTTGCCATACTACATTTGCACACAAAGATGCAATTGTCAATTAAAAATCCCATAGTGTTGGCAGGGGCAGTAGAAGTACTAGCAATAATCGGAGAGATTTGGGTTCGAAGATATTATCCAAGTAGTGTAATCCAGTGAAATAAATTTAAAAAGACAACGATAGAGGTGATGAGGAATTCAGAAGGTTAGAATTAAAAAGTACACAAAGAGTGGATTCACCTGCTACGTTGCAAACGATTTTGAGACATGTCGTTCAAGGTCTCTAACCATTGACGACTTTCGTCTCGCGGACTCAAGAAAACAAGGCTGGTTTTCGAGCTGGACGTGTCTGTATAGACCACATTTTCAGATTACGACAGGTCCTAGAACACAGACACTCGTGAGGTTCTGTGGCAGTGTCTGTCTTTGAAAGGTTTACCAAAGAAATACATTAACCTTATACAAGCTCTGTACTCGAACACCACTAGTCGAGTGAGAGCTTATGGCGAACTGTCATCGGAATTCTTCACTTCAAGTGGTGTCCGTCAGGGATGTCCACTTTCTCCATTCTTGTTTAATTTTATCATAGACATGATTTTGGAAATAACCTTATCCTCATCTGAATTTTCAGGAGTAGACCTATGTTTTGCAGTGTAGGAATAGGTTGGACGAAAGCTAGGGGTGGCCACACCAAAACATGACAGAAATCCATGAAGTCACTGACTAGTGGACTGAGTCATGTTGGCAGATGTAGACTACCTGGTTGTGGTCCGCAAGGCGAGTCACCAATGGTTAGAGACCTTGAACGACATGGCTCAAAATCGTTTACAATGACGTAGTTGCATCCATTCGTTGTGCTCTCTCAAATCCTAATCTTCTGGATTCGTCAGCACCTCCACCTTTATCTTTCTAACCTTATCTTACTGAATGATACTTCTTGAATAATATCTGGTCTTCTTCATTACCATTAATAGCTCTACTATCTCTATGACTATGGGATTTGATTTGACATCTGCGTCTTTGTGCTAATGTGGTATGGCATACGTACGTAGTTCTACGTTGCAACTGACTGATTGACTCTCTGTCTGTGTGTGTGTGTTCTGGAATTAACTTCTCATCATCGTATTTCTGTCAAATGAGTAATTTTTCTCTTATTTAAAAAAATTTGTATTTCTAGTCATGCGCTGAAGCAATCATTCCAGCTTATTTACCGATTGTTGAAAAACGACGACATTTAAAGTATACTAATAAAGAACGGTAAATTCTCTGTTTAATTTTTATTCTGTTTAGATTTTTTTTATCTGTTGCTCAGTGTTTTTTTGTGGCTTATTCTATAAGTAAAAAAAATATCAGAAATCTACATGATGCACAGAGTAATTGATTGGTTGATTGATTGATTTATTGATCAAGTACAAGTAGAAGTATTTGACTTTGAAATCGTGAATCACTGATCATTGTTCGACGACCGCTTCGTCCTGTGGTGTAGGACTTACTTAGCAGTGGTGCAGTGGTAGTGCTGCACATCTACGACCAACCCTGCTCACGGGAATCGAATTGAGGAGCTTTGGTGTCTGTCACGTGTGAATGCTTAACTTGTAGACCGCTGAGCTGGCTGCATTCAACGGTGTTGATGTGTAGAGTTTAATCAATCCCTGATATTCAGCAACTCCACCCATTGCTTTTGTCAGGTGACTGTCTACACCCGACGCGGTTGAACTCCACTGGTCACGGCGGTGTCTCACTAGAACTCCGAGAATTTCCACACGAAGCTAGTCACTAGTGAGATCGTTGTGGACAGTAACTACCGAAGACATTGGGTGAGGTTGCGCATAGAATCACTAGATTGATCAAAGTTAGAGATTAACACCGTTAGATGTCGGCTCAATGGACCAAAGGTTGAGCGCTCGTTTGCAAGTTCTAAGGTCCTGGATTCACTTCACGCGGGTAGTAGGAGTTGTGCATGCACATTGCTGATTTGGGTGGAGTGTGGTTATTGTAATTGGTTCCCAACTACAATAGCAAAAACCCAAACAACTGCGTACAAACTTTATTCATTGGGGCGAGAAACACACACTTGCTGTGCAGAAGCATGAATAATAATATCTAATATCGGTTTTTCAAAAATAAAGCGGCTTTCCACACTGCTTCGTCGAAAATTTCCCCACTTAACTTGTCAGCAAGATCAAATGTAGAAACCAGCGAACAGATCATCCTACTCCACGCCTAAATAAATTCAAAAAACGGCAATGAAATTGATTGTAGATGACGTTCGAAATACGAGTGTTACACATAAGTCAATCTTATACAAATCAGACAGACAGACAGACCGATTCGGTTTAATGTGATGTTACGGGTATGAGGGCGGTTGTCACTTCCCGGCTGCCCACACCGTTTAAGGTTGTTTCTTGAGCAACCTGAAAAGGAAGATAGATTAGTGTTGGTCTTAGTGACCTGGGTGCGTGATCGTAGAGCCCAAGGAACAATTGCTTGAGGCCGGTCACGTACGGCCTTTTTATGAAGGGTGTTTTGAGTATTAGCTCCTCTCTTAAAAAACCTTAGTGGGCACCCTTACCGCTGGAGACGGAAGTCGGTGAGGTAGGGTGAGGTGTGACATTTTTAGGGTTGACCTTTTCTAACCCTTCCTTCCTTGTGAGAAGGCAGCATCAGTGCAGATGCTGGTTGTCCGAGGGAAACACCTTACCGCTGTCACACCCCTCTGCAGTCATTCAGCAGTACGACTTCGCCCTCAGACCTTGAGTAGCTGCCTTTAGTCTCATCGTTCTCCAATCGACCTGCCTGGCATGGTAGAACCTTCAGGAACATATGTTCCAGCCAATATAGCTCGGTTGGGTCATCACGATAGGCAAGCCCGACCATCACGTCAAGGTAGCAGCTACGGTCGGGTATGCTAATCAAAAGATAAAATATCACACGATTACAAAACTAAACATCTCATCCACAAAATAAACTGTTCCATTTTGCGAACAAACACCACATTGGACAAAATGAACACACCCCTATATCTTCATCATCGTCTCAGTGAACATAAGTCAACAGTCCTTCCCTTGTAAGTGAACAGTTGCGGAGACTGGAAAAATATTGAAACCGTACACACAAGAATTAATAAGAAATATTTTTTTTAGAAGCTTTGCATTCAGGTCAACCAATAATCAGCAAACCTTAAAATTGACCCAATTTACCAGCCAATCAGAAAACCCATGGATCTATATGTATATGTAGAATCAAGAATCAAATCTAAGGAAAATACAATCAAAATAATCACTTGTTCAAGGTCAACAGCAATGAATCAAGGTCAAGGTCGTCCGGTCAAGTTATGAATCATCATGCGTGCATGGAGAAATTCGATTACATCACTTCAATGTGAAGTTTCTACTGTTACTGATGTTAACAAATTTTGAAATCATGAATCTATCTATGTTAGACCACCAATAGAAACCTGAAAGCACTGGCTGGCCATTTCTCCCTAGTATGGGACTATTCATCAGCACTGCACATCCACGACTCCTGTTCCTGGCAGCACTCGAACCTAGGACATTCCGTGTTGCGTGCAAACACCTAACCTCTAGACCATTGAGCCGGCATCTTAGTCAACAATCTCTTCTACAAATACGTGTATCCATTTCATCTGGTTTTTTGACTTGTTCGTACGTTACACTATCAAGAAAACGTTTTGCCAATCGAATTGGTGTAATGAACAATGACATGAAGGTCACAATTTATTCACTTAATATGTGCAGCTAATCTTCGAACATGCTTATGCAATACAAGCAAGCAGATTATCGATAGTCATCTTGCATATTGTTTTTTCTTCTAGTTTTCAACAATACTCTGATCCGACTATGTTGTATTTCGATCCAACACTCTTCTCTCTCTCCAGTTGTAACATCTCTTAGTTGTCACTCCGCTGCATACTACTTATAAGCCAGCCACGTTGTAAACAGTGACTTGTCCTGGTTTTTGGTCACAAATCAATAAATCTATGCTTATCGAGTTATTATTCACACTTGTTTCTTCGATCTTGTCAATTTTTCTCTGATAATCTTGGTTGTTTTTGATTGAGTGCGTATGTGTACATGGCTTATTTTGCTGATCACATGTCGAGCTTCAGTGCATTGAGTTGACCCACTTGCCTTTTCTGCTTCACTTCATTTCGGTTTGTATTCTCTGAATTTCTCATAATCTCTGTTTTTCTCTCTATAAATTTATCGCATTGAATTATACTTTTCGAATCATATCTTCGCTCCTTAATCTTCTCCATTACTGCTAATACTTCTATTATCGCTCTCACTCTTGGATTTGAGAACTGACAGTCGCATCTCTGTGCTAATATGGTATGGCAACCTGATGTTCGTACGTAGGAAGTTCTGTATTGTATCTGTCTGTCTGTCTGTCTGCTTTGTATTCTCATATCTTTTTACGTGAACGATTGCATAAAATGGCAGCCATTCAACTCATTCAACCGCCGTCACACAAATGATATACGAAAATGGAAGGGAAGATTTATTTCGCAGAATACCCATACCCCGATGCCTAGCCACTAAAGTGTTGAGCTCTACTTCGAATTAAACACAGCCCATTATGGGAGTATTCTTCTTATACAACACAACATGCATCCACCAAATCGGAAGATGTATAAACCTTAACATATCAGGGCAGCATCATCGACAATCAAGGTGGATTCGATGCAGATGTGAGGTCGCGGATAGGCAAAGCAAGGGTCTGCATTTCTAAAAATGAAGAACATCTGAAATTCAAAACAAATGTCAACAAACACGGAAATCAGAATTTTCAATACAAATGTCAAGACAGTTTTACTGTATGGAGCGGAAACTTGGAGAACTAAAAAAGTCATCATCCAGAAGATAAAAGTTTTTATGAACAGTTGTCTACGCAAAATACTTCGTATTCGTTGGCCAGACACGATCAGCAACAACGAACTGTGGGAGAGAACGAACCAGATCCCAGTGGATGAGGAAATCAGGAAGAAGCGGTGGAAGTGGATATGACACATACTGCGGAATGCACCCAACTGCGTCACAAGGCAAGCCCTCACTTGGAACCCTCAAGGTCAAGGGAAAGGAGAAAAACTGAAGAACACATTACGCCGAGAATTGGAAGCAGACATGAAAAGAGCAAACAGCAACTGGATAGAACTGGAAAGGAAGATCCAGGACAGAGTAGGTTGGAGAACGCCAATCTTCGGCGTAGGCTCCATTAGGGTGGTAACAGGTGTAAATAAGTATGTAAGTAACTAAAAGTAGTATCCACCACATTGGCATAATGTAACAACTGTCAAAGTTTACAATTCAATAAGATTTCACACACATTTGTTGTAACGCTTGCTGAGATAATTCTCAGCTAATTCCTATTGCTTAGTATTCTCTGACCACAAACAATACACTGGACAAGTTCCAAAGAATCAAAAGAAACACGGTTGAACAGGAAAAGATAATATTCCAAAATAGCAAGGTTAAATGTAAATAAGAAGCCAAAGGTGATGGCGAAGGCCCAAAAATAGATACAACGTTAGTCTATTTATAGCATTTACATGAAAAGCTTCTGGATAGTAGTAATTCACATGATCGACTGGATTAGATTTAACCAATCAGCACGCAGTTAACAATACGAGAATCATCTATCCTGTTCTCCAAGATTCGATCAGGCGCTGATTGGATAGGAAATTAGCTAATCAGCGCGTAGCAACGTAGTCATGCTTTAATTCCATCTATGTCCCACTAACACTATTGAATGGTATAAATGTATTTGAGGTATAAATAATGATTTCTTTTGATTTTCACACGCACACTCATTTCATTCATAGGGAATGGCAGTTGGTAAGACGTGGACGTTATGTTGAATTCAATTTAATCTATGATCGTGGTACAAAATTTGGTTTAGCCACACCGGAAGCTCGTATTGAAAGTATACTCATGTCTTTGCCACGTTATGCTGTAAGTTTGTGTGATTTTCATGCTGAGTGAGTGATTTATTATCATGAGACTTGGTCAACTTAATTCCAGATTACATAACATATGTAGTTTTGAGGTAATTTGTAAAATGTTTTGGTCAGTATACTACCGGCATTAACAAACAGGACAAACAAGCGAATTTTTATTAAGAGGTTGAATGACACATATTTCATTTACTTATTGATTCAAACAAACGAGTGCTTAAATATTTCTGTAACATACAAATACGATAGATCACTTGAAATGATTCGTTTTTTAATCTATGATCTGATCACTATCGATTAGGTGTGCCAAGATAGTGTCGTATAGTGTTCCAAATCAGCCAGTTCACTCATTCATTTCTTGGTTCACTTGCCTGCTATATGTACATCCAATAGAGCTGTTCCTGTGGGAACAGCTGAATTTCTAAATACATATTGAGGAAGCCAATTGAAGTAACTTATCTTTCGTTTGAGAGTAGACATCACTGGTCAGTGCCCCCAGACTAATCGCATAGGAAAACACAATTGTTCGCTTCCATGTGTGTTGTTTTAATATTCACATTAGTAACAAATTGATATGCTTGAATGTTATTATGAGTTCAGCTTACTCGGTAAATGAGAGCGAAGATAAATGATTCAGTGACACGATAGGCTCTTCTCATCCATTGTCCCATGCTCTGTTAATAAAAACAAGAAGTCTTGATAAAGCGTAGAGAATGTATTCTACGCGCACACAGAAAATACGAGATTGCTAAGCACACATCTGAAGCTTATTTATGCAATGATAGAAACACACTTGGTAAGAGCCACAAACTAGTATTGTACTAATAAAATCCGTCAACCAAATGAGACAGTTAAGGATTTTCCGAGTAGGAAATGTAATCTCAAGGTCAGCTAAACGTTTCTTGGCGTAAAAACATAAACAGTTCAAAGTTTCAGCAATAAATTACAAAATTGAGTTTTGGGGATCTAACATCCCTAGCGCAAACTTATCAAACTTGTCATCATTCTCATAGAAGTAACAGAACAATCTTCATCAATCGAGACTTCTGATTAACTGATATATATACAGATGTATATTTGACAGATTGAAAATGTCACTAATCAGTTGATTTAGAAATACAAGGTATTCCATTTACTTTAGGGAGAGAGTGAGAGAGGGCTAAATATCTTGTGTTTCTTTTCTCTGCATTCGTTGATAATTCAAGTTTTTTCACAAAAAATAGGCTTTAATCCACCGTCTAGAAGTAGTTTGTAGAGGAATAGTTTCTCCACTCTGTGTATGTCTCTCTCTCTCACTCGCTTCGTGTACTTCTGATTTCCTCATCACCTTGATCTTTCGGCTTTTTAAACTTAATTTCACTGGATTATCTTCAAACCCTAATCTTTCCGATTACTGCTCATACTTCTACCACTGTGGGATTTGAATTGACAATTCCATTCCTCTGTGTACTAATGTCGTGATATGTACGTACGTATGTACGTACGAAGTTCTACATGATTGTAGCTGACTTTCCTAGGACTTATTCTAAGCATTTTTGTTTATTGCATTACAGAGTTGTAAAGATTGTTAAGTTACACATTTGAAATCATGAATCGATCATCGTTAGACCACACCACTGAGAAACCTGGAAGCAGTGGATAAAGGCCGTTTCTTCCTAGTATGGGACGACTTATCAACATTGAGCAAGAGCGTGAATTGATCGAAGTTAGACAATAACACCGTTGGTTGGTGGTCCAGTGGTCAGTCAATCAGTCAGTCAGATGCAACGTAGAACGTCGTACGTAAGTACATCAGTTCATGTTGCCATACCACATTATTAGCACAGAAATGTAATTGTTAAATCAAATCCAATAGTAGAAGAGGTAGTAAAGACATTAGAAGTAATCCGAGAGGTTAGGATTAGAAGATATTATTCAAGAAGTATGATTCAGTGAGAAAAGTTTAGAAAGTCAAAAGTAGAGGTGTTAAAAAATCCAGAAGATTAGGATTTGAGAGAACACAAAGAATAAATGCACTGGCGCCATCGCGAACGATTTTGAGCCATGTCATTCAAGGTCTCTAACCATCGATTATTATGATCTCGCGGACCTCAACCAGGTAGTCGACAATTAGCGATATGGCTAAGTCCACTAGTCAATTACTTCATGGATTTCTGCCATGTTTTGGTCTGGCCACCCCTAACCTTCTTCCAACCTATTTCTACACTACAAAACAAAGCTCGACGAGGCAGTCGGTGGTTAGGCATACGCAATACATGTCCTAACCACCTCAACTGATGAAATTTCACCACTTCATCTATTGATCTGTCATTCTTTACCTAGCACCCGTTTCCTAACAGCAGCGTTGCTCACTCGGGTGTCCCACGATATGCTGGTCCAATGGTCCACAGGTTAGACGTTCGCGCTCAAGACTGAAGGTTTTGGGTTCGAGTCCTGCGAGTCGCTGGAGTCGTGGATACGCACTGCCATTGATGCGTAGTCCCTTACCAGGATGAAATGGCCTTTATCCAGTGCTTCCAGGTTTCTCAATGGTGTTGGTCTAACAATGATTGATTGATGATTTCAAATGTGTAGTTATATTTATAACACTATTATTATTATTACTAATTTTAGCAATGGAATTATTGTTATGACAATTCACAAGATCCACGTAATCAATCGTTAATTGAAGTACTGACAAATCCTAAAGATTGGGTTTAAATTGTAAACATTCCCACCCACCCACTCCCTTCCCCCGCCCCGACGTTTTTTTCTTTTTACTTTCTAGTAATATTCTTCTTCTACTTTTTGCTCTGTGTGTGTGCGTGTGGGTGTGTCTGTTTTTTTATACTAATTTAATTATGTTGATTGTATATAGGTTCTTTACAAAAATTATCATTTATCTACCTCATTGTAGATTTCATTGTTGTGCATTTGTATATATAAATAAAATGAGTTAGTTTAGTAATTTGTGTTGTGTCTTGTTTGGTAAATATTGCACTAACTGTCGACTGGTTAGAGTTTTCTTTCTAGCGAGTTAGTTGTGTACTTGATGATGGGTTCGCTAACCACCCCCCCTCCACGCCCAACCCTCCTCCTTTATCCGGAGCTTGGGATTTTTTAGTAGACTCCGGACGCGCTGCAGGTGGAGTTTGTAATTGTAGTGAATATCTTTGAAAGTGTCATAACGCTGCTACGTATAGTGCTATTCAGTCCTAGCGGCGTCCAATTCAAATATCCCAATACGACCCAAAATTCTGTTTCCAAATCTCCTAGAGATCAGAACGCAACACCGTTGAATGGAGTTGTTTATTGGGAGGTAGGTAGGAGAAACGGAATTGGAATCCGAATCATTAAGTCTTTCAGATAGTGCGTATTTATACATTAAGGTCGAATAGGAAAGAGCATATTAAAGTCTGTGACATTGACAGTTTAGGACGACGACCAATAGGAAAGAACATTTGAAATGACATTGACAGTCCGGATGACCAATAAGAGACAACATTGAAGCATTTGACTTTGACAGTTTGAACGATCATAATTTCGACCAATAGAAATCGCCCAATAGGATTGTACTTCTAAAAATAGTATTCTTAGGATATTTGGTGAATATCCTAACAGAAAGTCTGTATAACATTGTTACAAATGGACGTCAACATGTCATTTGATATGCTTGAACTATTACGAGTTGTTTACTTTAGTCAGTAAACGAGAGCGAGGATCCGGCGACACGACAGGTTACTGTAATCCGATTGTCCCAAACCCCCACTGAGTAAAAGAAGAAGACTTAATCTGAAGTAGAATATGTATTCTACAAGCATCCAGAGAGTACGAAGTCCGAGTCCAGAAGAGAATCAAGATCCGGGATTACGGATCTGGGTCCTGGCCCTAAAACGTTACACACAATGCGTATTTATACAGTTAGGCCGAATAAGAAACAACCTTTGAAGCATGTGACATTGATAGTTAGGATGACCAATAGGAATTGACCAATAGAATTAGACTTACAAAAATAATTCTCTAAGGATATTGGAGGAAGATCTTTGAAGCATTGCTCGTATATCCTGGGATCATTTAGTAAGCAATGCTGTTGTTTGTAAAAGGGTTTTAGGTAAGGAGAACCGATCAATAGGTAAATTAGTGCATCTTCATCATTTCATATGGTTGAGACGTGTGTTACGTATGCCCAACCATCGGTATTTTGTGGTGTAGGAGTAGGTTGAAAGAAAGCTAGTTGTGGCCAGACCAAAACATGGTACAAATCAATGAAGTCACTGACTCCTGGATTGGACTATGTTGGTCGATGTAGAATACTTGGTTGAGGTCCGCAAGATGATAGTAACCGATGGTTAGAGACCTTGTACTGCATGCCTCAGAATAGTTTGCGATTGCGCAGATCTATCTATTCCAGGTCTTCTATCGTGACCCTCACTGAGCTAGTCACTAGTGAGCACATGATAATTTGCATATCAAGAGTTGTGTAGATTGTTGAGTTACTTTGTTGCGATCATGTAGAATAGTTTAAAATACCTCAAAATTAGACAAAAGTTAATTATTAACACCGTCAGACAGCATGTCAGGCATTCGCGCCCATGGACCGACGGTCCAGTGTTCGAATCCTTTCGAGTTGCAGGAGCTGTGGATGCGCACTGTTGATAAATCCCATATCAGGACCAAATGGCCATCTAGTCCTTCCAAGTATCCAATTGTAGTCTAACATTGATCAATTCATGATATTAAAAAGTGACTCAACAATCTCTACAACCCCAGCATGCAAAACTAAACGTTACAAGATGAGTTCGTTTTCGTTTAAATCACTATTTTAAACCACCCCCTCCCCACTAAATAATTACTTTTGAGAAATTAGATCATTTTAAAAGAAATTTTAACTGACCTAATTTGTACTTGTAGTCATACAGAAAATGATAAAGACATTACATTTTCATATTCCATGGTAATACCTTGGTGTACGCTACTTATGTTCACATAAGTAGTAGTATATGATATCAAACGGAAATCAAACGTCTGACAGCAAAAGATCGAGAAGGAAAGAATGAGAACAGAAGGCGATTTGTAGGTAGGTAACGTAAAGTGAACTGAAGTCTGAACAGTCTAAATGAATGAAAGAACACTGAAATCTGAAACAAAAATAAGGATTGATATGCAAATGATGATTCACGGTAAGGTTTTGTACATATGCTTAACAACTCTGTAATTTTGCTTAAATATCTATGAACTTTGACCAAGAAAGAGCTCTTTCATTTCCCCCTTTTTCTAACTCTCTTATGCTATTGACTTTCAATCAGTTCAACTCCATTTCAAGTATTCTATCTGATTACCATTCATTATAAGTTCAATGTTGTGGAAATTTTTATAGCGAGTTTACAAGCTCTAAATATGAATGCATTTTGCAGTGTTTCTTAATAAAAATGTTTCTTTCTATACTGTGGTTTTTTATATTACTTCTCTGCGTTATCATTATTTAACAAATCTATTATTTTCATGATGACATAGTTGTAAAGATGGTTGATTTCGATTAAACTCACAAATCAATCATTATCAGGCTAACATTAGAAACATGGAAGCACTGAAAAGCCATTTCATCTTAATATGGTACTCTCTTCAGTAGTGCACATCCACTGACCTCGTTCATGGGAATCAAACGGAGGAGCTTCGGTCTCGTGCGTGAACACTTAACCCCTAGACCATCCAACGGTGTTAATGTCTACCTTTAAACAAGACAAGGTATTGTACAACCGCCGTGACTTGTTGAGTTCAACCCTGTCCAGTGTAGGCAGCTACCTACTGAATACATTGGATAAGGTTTCGCCATACGTTTGACTGAATTAAGCTAGACTTCAACCTCGTTCGGTGCCAACTCACTGGTCTAGAGGTTAAGCATTGGCGCGCGAGACCAACGATCCTAGTTTCGATTTCCACGAACCCAGACTGTGGATGAGCATTGAGGATGAGTCCTATACTGGGATGAAACAGTCATCCAGTGCTTCTAATGGTGGTCTTACATTGATCGATTCAGGATTTCAATGAAAATCTCTTATTATTATTATTATTACTATTATTGTTATATCGTAATGAGTATATTCTTTTTTATTTTCTGAATAACTAAACGTTCACACATAAAAAATTAATGGTCCTTAACTTACTTCCTAGTTTCGGTATCTTTAAATGGTCACTGCTAAACAGTTCTACGACTAATATTTTTACGTTGTTTAATAATTCACTGTCTTACATTGTGATTGATTAGTGGTCTCAATCGAATCCAATAATCTCTGCAACACCATATACTGAAGAGAAAAAAATTATAATCCGTTGGAAGTTAATAAAACAAGCGGTGACTTTTAAATTTCAACACAGCTATAAAATAAACAGTCATAGAATGTAGTCAACTTAAAGTTCTGTTATGTCTGGACGTAAACACGTCAATAGATATGCTTGAATGCTATTACGAGTTGTTCACTTTAGTCAGTGAACGAGAGCGAGGATCGGGGATCCGGCGACACAACAGGATACACTAATCCAATTGTCCACAACCCCCACTGAGTAAAAGAAGAAGACTTGCTATGAAGTAGAACGTGTATTCTATAAGCATCTGGAAAGTACGAGGTCTGAGTCCAGAAGAGGATAAGGATACCGGACTAGGGATCTGGGTCATAAACGTTACAGACAATCCATATTTATACAGTTAGGTAGAATAGGAAACAACATTTGAAGTATGTGACAGTGATAGTTAGGACGACCAATAGGAATTGACCAATAGAATTAGACTTACAAATAATTCTCTTAGGATACTGAATGGATATCCTAACAATGGGAAAAAAATTCAATTCCTTATGTGAATTTATCAGAAACCCTAATCGATTTATGTATCATAAGTCTGCTCAAGAAGGGAACAAGATTCTGTATTCCTATTCATTTTCAATAACCCCAGACTAGATTTATAGTGCAACTAGTGTACACGAGAAAAGGTGCGAAATACATGATGGGTGCTTTACTCCGAGTTTAGTTCATGTACAAAAAAAGTGAGTGTATTTACAGAATTACTTACGATTCTGGGCTTCTAGAAGGTATGAGAACCACGTTAAATATAATAGGGGTTTGACTGAATATCCATGTCCCCGTGAACATTCTATATAATGGTGGTTAGATTAAACGTTCCACGCCATTTCGCGGCTCTCTGACGGTCTATTTTATCAGTACAAGGAAGCAGTGGACAGAAATTTTCTCCTATAGTGATAGTTTATAGCACTGAGAATCCATTATCCTGTCACAAAAATGATGTAACCGATCTGGAACATTCGGTCTTGAGGGCCGACAACCAACCACTACACCTTTGAGCCTGTATCGAATGACGTACAAGTGTAACTTCAATCGACCCACGATACTGGTCGACTGTCGTCTGCTCCATTTTAAGGATAACTGTTTCATACTCAATATTGCCTAAACTCCATTGGTCATAGCTTCTCACTAAAATCTAGAAAACAACATCTCCAATCTAGTCATAAAGTGACTAGACTGATTATAATTAACATAGAGTCATCAATACCCACGACTGAATAATCTTATTCAATATGGAAACAGTTATCTAGTTCGTTCGGATTTATTTTAGACAAAAGATTTTTAAACATATTTTTAAGTAGTATAATCGTGTTACAAAATCAGAATAATGGTAATATTTTATATGCCAACTTAGTATAACAATAACGTTGCAGATTCGGATGCTGAGTATTACCGGTTTGAATGCCACAAGAACTATTCATCTTTTTACGTTGTACGGGTATACATTTCTAACATTATTACCAAACTACTTAAGTACTTACGCCATTTACCCTCAATGGGGAATATGCCTCCGACCAGACCTATTCCGTTCAGAGCATCACTTTCCAGTTCCATCCAATTGTTGTTCATTCTTCTCATATCTTTCTCTATTTCTCGGCGTATTGTGTTTTT